TTTCTTGGTACATCACAAGCAAATCGTTTTATGACGGCATCGCCGCTTACTGCCCAACCCACCGGTTATGCTGGAGGTGGCATGCGACCCCTGGTGCCGCAGGCTACTGGTTTCGTTGACCCGCGTTTACAGATGATGTCCAGCACGTTCCTACCCGCGAACCCATCCACTCCGTATAATCCAGCAGGCGCCCCACAACTGCAGCAATTACCCGTGGGTGGATTATCGCTCCAGCAATCATTCCAGCAGCACAATCAGGCTCAGCGCGGAAACGCGGCACCCAAGGTCCCATGGGCTCTATCGAAGGCGGAAAAGAAGAATTACGATCAAATCTTTCGTGCTTGGGACGTGAGCGGTACTGGTTTCATCAGTGGGCAGACTGCGCTCGAAGTGTTCGGGCAGAGCGGACTTGACAAAAACGATCTTGCCAAAGTCTGGTGGGTTTGGGATTCATTACTATAGGCTTTCATTTGCTGAAAAAAAATCAGGGCCCTTGCCGACGCCGATAATCGTGGCAAGCTGAATCTCGCCGAGTTTCATGTTGCTATGGGCCTTATTTACCGCAGTATGTGCATTTTAACTATATTTGAACCATATTTAAGAAAGCCACAGGGCTCAACGGCAACGAAGTCCCTGACGAGCTTCCAGCCGAGCTTATTCCACCTTCTCATCGGGATCTTGATACGTCTGTCAATCTCCTCAAAGACATTCTCAAGAATGATACGCGAGCACGCTCCCCTTCGAGTCTGGATGCCCCTGTGTCAAAGCTCAAGGAGCGTTCCTTCAATAGTACATCTGCACCAGGTGCGGGTGGGCGACAGGACGCGACAGTATACAAGTACAATGACGACAGCCCCCCTGGTGGATATTATCAGCCTCGATCGCGCCATGTCGATCGTAGCGCAGTACGCACAGCGAGCGAGAGCGAGAATCCAGCTGCAGATCTTTCTGAGATGAAACGACAACTCGAAAATACTGCGAAGATGCTTGATCGTGCCTCAGAAGAAAATGCGTCGCGTACCGCAGAGGATGAGGCTCTCGAACGGGAAATGGCCGATCTTAGGTACCGGGTCAACAGAGTGAAGGATGACCTGGATTATGTGTCTAGAGGTCCTAGAAGCACCACGAAGGACGAAGAGAGACGCAAGCTCGAACGGGAACTCATGAAGCTGATGCACGAACGAATACCAGAAGTTGAGCGAAAACTTCAAGACCGAGAGGAGCGACGCAATCGCGAGAAGAGAGAGTGGGCTCGTGACAGAGACAGACGCAATGACAGGTTCGGGAGATATGACGACCGAGATGACCGATACTCTTCTCGCCACGACGACGACGACAGAGGCAGAGGTTATCGTCGTGACTCGTATGGTCGTGAGGAACGGGACAGGGATCGTGATTACGACCGAGAGAGACCATATTCGCGTAACAGGGACCGGGACCTTGACAGAAGCTATGATCGCCCTCGCAGTCCACCCGCTGCACGTTCTCCTCCCCCTGCTCCCCCGTCTGTGCCTCCCCCGAGCGCAATAAGCAAGCCGCCACCACCAGCTCCAACTCCGACCAAATCACCTGCACCAAATACTAGGAATATGACCCCCGAAGAGCGTCAGGCATTCATTCGCGCAGAGGCACAAAGGCGTATGCAGGAACGCATGGCTGCTCTTGGTGTTGTTGGCGCAGGATCATCTTCCCCCAAATTAGATACTAGTGTTGAAGATCGCCTAGCTCGCGAGAAACAGGAAGCAGAAGAGAAAGCACGTCAGGCTGAGAAGGAGGCGGAGGAACGAGAAAGGGTTCGTAAGGAACGGTTAGACAACGAGAAAGCCCTGAAGGGAGGTGCTGTTTCGCCTGCTCCCACACCCACGGGCACTGTTCCGCCCACATTCGCACCTGCCCCACCTGTACCTACGCCCACTGTGCAAGTGCCTACACCTAAGCCAACGCCGCCGCCTCCTAAACCTAGAGCGCCCGCACCTCCGCCTCCGCGGAAGGCGCCGCCTCGTGCTCCGACTCTTCGTTCAACGCCTTCTGTGCCGACACCTCCTGCAACGACACCTTCTGTCATTGCACCTGTGCCTCCAGCCCCCGTGCCTGCACCTGCTACTCCGCAAGTTGATCCTGAGGACGAAGCAATACGTGCTCGTGAAGAAGCTGTACGCAAGCAGCGAGAGCGCTTGGATCGATTGCGCAAGTTAGAGCAGGAGGAAGAAGAGGCAAGGCGCGCCGAGGAAGAGTATCGAGCAAGGCGTAATGTTCGGGAGACTGTCCCATCTCCCGCCGGGCCTGCTTCAGCACCTCCAGCACCAGCGCCGCCGCCCTCTCCCCCTCCTCCTGCATCAGTGCCAGAGTCCTATTCAAGCCCTCCTCCTGCCCCGCCTCCTCCTCCGCCACCAGTAGCCAGCCCACCAATCTCGACATATTCGTCGGATAAAGCTAGTACTAACCCATTTAACCGGTTCAAGTCGGGCGCAGCACCCTCTCCATCTACTCCTTCTACCAATGGAAGTACTAACCCATTCTTTAAGAATATATCGGCATCTCCACCTGCTGTCACCCCGGTGTTGCCGCAGATTACTATTCCCCCGCCATCGAAGAGCCCCGCCCCACCTGCAATAAAGACAACATATCATACGGCGCCTGGTGAGGATGATGAAGAGTGGGACGCTATTGAGGAGAAGGACGACGACGATAGCAGTGACGATGAGATCGATTCATCTCGTGCTACACGTAAAAAGTTGGCGGAGGAGCTATTTGGAACTATCCTACCTCCGTCGCGTCCCCAGTCAGCTGCTCCGACTACAGCGATACCTCCGCCTCGGATTTCGTCACCTATCCATCCAGCTCCTTCCGCTCCGCCTGCCGTAGAGAGCGTTCCTATCGCACCTCCACCACCACCTATGGCCCCGAGCGCACCCCCACCTCCAGCAGCTCCGGCATCGACTGGTGATCGCAGTGCGCTGCTGGGTGCTATTCAAATGGGTGCTAGACTGAGAAAGACCCAAACGAATGATCGCAGCGCGGCCCCGGTATCGGGCAAGGTCATCGGTGATAACGCACCTCCTGAACATATCACAGCCGCAAGAGTGTCGGCTTCACCTCCTTTCGGAGTCCCTCCTATGGAATCCTCCATAGCTTCACTCGAGCTGCCTTTGATGTCCTCCCAGGCGAGTTCTAGATCGAGTAACAGGGAATCTGTCGATTGGTATGCAGGGCTTGCCGCTGATGGAGGTGCAGTTAAGCTTGAGCATATGCCCTCAATGCAGGAGGAAGAAGAAGAGGAGCCCCTTGCATCGGTGCCTCAGATTCAGGTCGATGCTGCCGAGGAGCATGAACCTTTAGCCGACGTGGACAGATCCACAGGTACGACTCAGCTTGATTGCATGGATTCTCGATCTCACTTTGTCATTAGAATATCGCGTTCGTTCTCTGTATCCATATCAAGGACAGCGAGCTGAAGACCTCTGTGAGTCTCTTGCGGCGTCGTCGTTCATCATGGCAGTGGCTGACACTCAAGTAGCATTTGCCGAGAATCTGCTACTGACTGCACACCCATCCAAGTCCGGGGGAGAATGGTGGTATGGCACTCTCTTGCAGGATGGCAAGTCTGGGTTCTTCCCCAAGACTTACGTGGAAAAGATCGAACAAGGTAGCTCTACTTTTGATCTTGTCGTATACAACACTGCTGACCTGTTTGTAAGTACGAGCTAAGGCTCTGTATTCATATACCGGGAATAGCCCCGATGAGCTACCATTCTCAGAGGGTGACGAACTATACATCGTAGATCGGAGCGATGTCGATTGGTGGAAAGCCGAGCAAGACGGTGTGGTCTTCATCGTTCCCGCAGGATATCTCGAAGTTCTAGAAGGTTAGCAATTGATCCCTCCTCTTCGTGCTCTTTCGTTTACTTTGCTGGCAGGCTAAAGTGATTTATATTTTTCTCTTACATGTACTTGACTACTTGAATTGGAAAATGACCTTTTTACCTGTCGGCCACTCAGTTCACGATACTTTTGGGAAATCATTCATAGAAGAGCAAGCCACGGTCTCACACGAGAACGCAATCACAACTGTAGAACCTGCAATGACTATCCTTCCAGAGGAAGATAAGGAAGAGGATTCTTCAGATACTGATTATGCTTCTTCGACTGAGACTGAGACTGAGACCGAGACTGACGTCGACGATAATGACGAGGAAGTAAGCGAGGAAGCTAGAGCAGCAGAACGAGAAGCGCGTGCACTTGAACGACAACGCGTCCTGGAGGCTGCGGGTCTTATAATCAAGTCGGACGTGAAACCCCCGCCACGACCAGTACGGACGAGAAGCCATCGCAAGCGCAGACCGCCGCCTGCTGTCCCTGACCGCCTTAGCTCCAACGGAACGCAGTCTCCTGGGAAGGACCTACTCGATGCTCCTCGTCCTGAAGATAGCGATAACCCTTTGCATTTGGATGACGCATTCGAGCGTTATGAAACGTTCAAGCTAGCCAATGCGAATACCAACCGTTTGTCTCTGGCCTCTATGGACAGTGGTGTCTCCGCGCCGAGTCCAACGAGAAGCACGTCCGCTGAGCCGGAAAGTCGGTCGACGACTCTCCATTTCTTCAGCTTATTCGGCCGTAAGACCCCCACCAATGACGGCGAGACGCGTACGATGCCAATAATCTCTGCTCCGATCATATCAAGGGAAAGTAGTACGCCTACATTCGGCGAAAGTGATAATATGTTTGGTACGGTAAGTAAATCCTGATAAGTCAATGTCCGCCGGTCTTACTTATGGCTCTGTCTAGTCGTGGGCCAGCCTAGTGGACAAGTCGGCCCTTGAAGAAATACCGGTGAAGGAGCGTCGTCGGCAAGAGGTACGTCAGGGAAACACCCCTGCTTTGGACGTTTGACAATATAGTCTATAGGCTATCTTCGAGTTCATCAACACAGAAGCGGCATACGTCAGAGATTTGCAGCTAATTGTCGAGGTAGAGCGTTGTTAGCTACTTCTGGGAGCATACTATTGACAGCATCAACTAGCTGTTCTATGCCAAATTGATGGATTTGCTCGACGAGAAAGCCGTCAAAGTAATATTCGCTAATGTCGAGGATATCTTATTAGTCAACACGGTGCGCGTCGGTCGATACGTGTTGACCCCCAGCCTAACACTTCAGGCACAGACGTTCCTCAGCTCCCTGGAGGAAAGGCAGAAGGAATGTCGTTTATATGTTGACAAGATAGGCGATATATTGAAGAAGAACATGTTTGAACTCGGTGTCTATGTGGTAAGTGGCTCAGCTTACGAAATGTTCATCGGTGAATAGGACTTGTCGTGGTTTAGGAATATTGTGTAAACCAAGGAACTGCGATCAAACTTCTACAATCACTGCGTGAGTCCAGTCCCGATCTGGGACCTCGTTTACAGGTGCGCTACATCTCATTCTACAATGTTCACCCTCTCACACACGTACCATAGCGGCTCCGGGAGGACCCAGCTGCCCGTAATCTAGACCTTTCCAGTTACCTACTTGTTCCTAGTGAGTGATCGCGGTTCGTGATCCATTCGCTTGGCTGACAAAAAACATTGTTCAACAGTGCAACGAATCACCCGATACCCGTTATTGATTCGCCAGGTAAATCCGCTTCGAATTGTTCGTGGCCCTCGATGGCTAATGTGACGATAGATACTACATTACACGGAGAGTACTGACGATCGTCACTTCATCGAACGTTCTCTAGAAGGCGCGGAAAAGATTCTCGACCACATCAATGAGTCCATCCGTGAGGTAGAAGGTCGTGAACGGCTAAAGACCATTTCCAAGGATCTATGGGTCGGGCAAGGGTACGTGAAAGCTGTATTGTGGTCAACATCATATTTTTTTTTTACGTCGACCGCAGGCGGCTTGACCTGACTGCGCCTACACGATATATGGGCAGTAGAAAGTTATTGAAAGAAGGATTGCTGATGAAAGCGAAGAGCGGGCGCAGGCTTCGTGCGTTCCTCTGCAGCGACATTCTAGTTCTCACGGATGAAACAGCGAAGACGCTATATCGTATGGTATGTTGATTCGTTGATAGTGCTGCTTTCAACTAATCTGTCGAAGCCTATACCCTTGGCGGAAGTGCAAGTGAGGGAGGTTCCAGGAGGCAGAGGTTGGTGAAGGAGCTAGTACAATATCTGCACTACTAACGATTCTTGTGAAATAGATGATCTCACGTTCCAAGTTACCATCGCATACCCACGCGGCGGGGATACCATTGCATTGCGGGCTACATCAGCCAGAGACTGTCAACTCTGGATGCAAGCTGTTGACCATGCGAGTCGAATCTGCCGCGAGGCGATTAGGAAGCAAAAGAGAGGTTAAGTTCATACCTGACGAGCTTCAGATTCCTAGTGTTATTTATTACCCGGGCCATATGGACTAGAAAATACTGACAATATCTCTTCGGTTGTCGTCTGAGTCGAACGCTCTAGTACTATTGCCTCAGCGTGATGCTTGTTATGATTTACTAGCTTGAATAAAGCGTATCCAATATTGCAACGATAAGATATAGGCAACGTTTAGAACACGCTGGAATTTTTGTCCCCAGGTGACACTGAGGCGAGGCCGCCCTCGGAGTCGATGAACTCCGCGAATTTGGTATAGTGATCGATCTACAATGATTCATCCGAGTCATTCATGTTGAACTACCATTGGCGACTCTCCTCCTCTTCAAGCTGAGGTTGATCTGGTCTATTTTCAACTTCCGTTAATATTGCTTACGACCGGACAGTGGAAGGTCACAAAATTTGTTTGCATTGGAATGAACGATAATGCACAAAGTGGCGGCCTTGAGCCAACTCCGCCGAACCATCCTCCCAACGATCAGGCTAGGACGCGCCCACTATCAAGCACCCAAGAGCGCAAACTCGTTGAATATCTCGAAGAGCGGCTACTAGAGGTGACCCGCAACTTCAAAAAACGGTCTGTAATCCGGCTATGAGAAAGATGTTCTATCTAATATCGCACTGATCATTTTTCCAGCTCACATCCGTCCACAACGCTTCCGAGCCTTTCTTTGTACCTCACAGCTACACACCCTTTGCTCGCTCTTATCCTCCAGATCCCCCCTGTCTATCCATCTTCATACTTGCGCACGTCTTTGCTCCTCCGCCTTACTGGCGAGGTCCTCAGTTCTATAATTGGTTATGTCCCGGGTGCCAGCACGCTCGCGCAACTCCTCGCGTGGCTAGATGACCTGGACAGAGGCTGGCTGACCGTCCTGCGCCAACAAGCTTGGGATCCCGCAGAACATGTGGGAGTGGATGTTGACACTCTAAATGATTCCGACTCATCGCGGTCGACACCTATCAGCCAGACGGACCGTACCCGGCTTAGGAGCATGCTCATAGCTGGGACGGATCAGATGGAGGAATGGCTCTCAGGCATGGACACCCCAGAACAGGACTTCCGGTCGGCACTGGAAACACTCGGATTACAGCAAAGCTTTGATGACCTCTTCACACGAACCCTAGCCGAGATGGGCTCTCTGGATGGATCAATGAATGATCCGAAAGGCATGGAAAGCACCTGTTGAACAATTCCGTTCGTGGCCGAGTCCTGAATCCGATAGTTCCATCGTTGCAATGATTATCAAATGTACTACTACTAGGTGGAGTTGGGAAGATATGAATGAGATGATAATTACACGTGGGAATCTATAGTATATCATACTGTGAAACGTGCGAATACTGTGATACCAGCTCTCGTGCGCTTGTTTCCCAGATCCTCTACTGAGGTGACTGGTTGCTGACTGTTCTAGCCTTGTCTTTATGAACGCGTTTCGGCTTCGCGGTCTCCGAGTGATTTGCTTCAACGGCGGCCGTTGGGCGAGGAACGAGAGTCACCGAGGTGTTGTACTCCGACGATGAAGACGTCTGTTCCGCGACGTTGGCGCGAACGTGAGACGTAGGAGCTACCTTTCCCTCCGAGGATCGAGTATGTTCGGCTACAGCCCGTTCGGCGAGGTACTTCGGGAAGGGGGCATACCGTCTACGAGGGGATGCATGAGAAGGATGATACCGAGGGACAGGCTGTCCATTGTTGTCGGTAGGGACTGCAGCGGACAACGCATGGTTTTGCAGTGAATAGCGCCGACCGAGTAAGGTGCCAGGTTCGACAGGCGACGGCTGCTGCAGTAAATTACGAGGGATGGGAATAGGCAGCGGCTGAACGAAAGGGACCAGAGCCAGGAAGACAGCGAAGACAATCTGGAATGCGGGCATTCTGGAGTCTATGAAAAGTAGTAATATAGACAGACAGTATTTGGACCGGCCAAAATGTCAGGAACAGCCCAGAAGTAATTGAAGGTTCGAAACGGTGGGTGTGGGTTTGAAGACCAACCTAGATAGTAGTCCAACCACAACTACCAGCATCGTTGTCGGCGTCAATGTCATAACCTTAATTACGTCTCACGTGCCCTGCTATTGAGCTGTGGTGGACGCCTCGAGACTTTGCACACTGTTGATATGCTCTAGGAAATAAGGTATCATTAGTACTGATTGAAGACGCGACCTCGCACAGGACTCACTTTCTGACTTTTTATGATATAATTCCTGTTTGAACTCCTTGAGGGACTTGTACGACAGTCCGTCATCTCTCCGAGCTCGCGTGTGTCTCTTTCCCACTGACGACGGTGTTAGGGCTTGCAACAGGGTATCCATAGCAGCCTCCGTTTCTTCCTTCAAGAGAAACGCATCTTCCTGGTCAGGAAACGCGACGCCCTGGCGATAGCTCAGCCATAAATACATCACTATCACCTTGTGCACCGTTTCGAGTACTCCCAACATAACCGATTTATCGCCTTGTATTTTCGACTCCCTTAATGCTGTGAGGATGTCTTGATATTGGTCCCATACGCCAGCTTCCTGGAAGGCCTTTCGCAAACTGACACGCATTGAGGAATTATACGTCCGTACAATGCAGCGTAAGACGTCCTGGGCAAGAGGATCACGCTGAGGTACAGGCGCCATGTGCAGCAGCATCCGTTCGTTGAACGAGTTATTCTTTCCGATGGGATCGATAAGCGAAATTCGATTCTCTAAATCTCGAGTATCCGGAATCTCATAGGAAGGGTGTAGCTTTGCCACGTAATGGTAGACGTCCACTGCTATTTGGAGAGACACTCCTGGTGGTAAGGTGTTCATGACATACCGAATTGACTGAGATAGCAGCTGCACTCGAGCATATCTGAGGGGCTGCATGGGAGCCGCCAAAGCACGGCGAATATCTGGTAAATCAGCATCTTGCATAGCGGTCACAATTCCTCCTGCTTCATCTTTTCCATGAAGTCCGTATCGCCCTGCACGGCCAGCAATCTGTTTGATCTGCGATGTTGAGAGAAGTACTAGTCTATTACCGTCATATTTACGGACAGTGTCGAAAATGATGCGTTTGATTTTTCTGCAGTCATGTTAAGATAACGGAATGCCGCAAATAGTAAGAAACGCTTACAAGTTCAAGCCCATGCCAACGGCATCGCTGGCGACCAGGATGTCATAACCGCTGTCGGGATCGTTGAATAGAGCCGCTTGCTCGCTGCGAATCTCAGGAGGTAATCGCCCATATGCAACCGCACAGCGCATCCCGGTTGCCTCCTCGATTCGTTTCTTATAGGTAAATATCTTGGTGCGCGAGAAGCACACTACACAGTCTCCCTTTTGCACAAGGTTTAGATCATTCTTTAGACCCTCGTCCGCCGCCTGCAAAGGGGTAAGACGCCGATATCGGTTCACGATGAGCTCATCTCCGGTGTCCCGAAGCATAGCCTCTACGAGAGGGACGGCAGTCTCCTCTCCACATAGATGTAGCTCTCTTGCTGAGATTCCTAGTACGGCATTACTCCACGCACCACCTCGGTCCGGGTCTGCGAGCATTTGTATTTCGTCCACAACGGCGACGTCGTATTCGGCGTTAACAGACACCATTTCCACAGTGCAGCTGAGTAGTGCTCCGCTTTCCATAACGATTTTTTGTTCTTCGCCAGTAAGCAAGTTGCATGCTCGAGCGTATTGCGGCGAAGCTTCCTTCCTAATGGCAGGGCCCCCAACGTCGAAATTGGTCCGAGTGTCGGGTTCTGTGTGGGCATCCATTTCGACGCCCAAGGGCACGATCTGGCCTTTATTGAGACGCTCCCAAATCTCGTGAGCCAACAGACGTAGAGGTCCTGCATATACACCACTCTGAGCCCCTGCCAAAGCTCTGAGAGCGTTGTGGGTTTTTCCACTGTTTGTGGGTCCAACGTGCATGATGACCTTCCTCGGCTTTGCAGCACGAGCCACGGGATAGGCTGAGGCGGGACGGGATAAATCGGCGGCACGAAACAGCTCCGACATTGTCATAATGGTGCGCGGAGAGACGACAGCGTCGAGGACAGCGTGACCAGAAGGGTGGTCAGCCCACTCAAAGAGCAGCCTGGTCAAATACCTGTCAAGCATTTCTGCGCCAAAGAGGTACGACAAGTCATAGGACATCCGGGATAGCTCGTTCTCGTTTAAACTGAGGGCTGGAAGAACACTATCACCGAGGATTGCAGTTCTGTAGGCCGCGAGCATGGGAGATACGTCCTTTGAAGCAATTCCAAATGATTCAAGGCGGTCGCGCAAGCGGGAGGTTCGTGCCCATGGCTGCACGTACTGTGCCAGAAAGGTGCCGATACTATCATTTTGGACAGTGACTTTGGGTGTGATTTCGGGCACCGGAAGAGGTATGGGTTTCCTAAATGCTGACACACGATTATCGCGTCGAGGACTGTCCCGAGATTGTGGAGCTTTTCGTGTCTCGTAACCTCTAGGAATATGTCTGGCTCTTGTAGCGTACTTTTGGATGGTGATTTGAGGGAAAGGTAGAGCAAGAAAGTCACGGCGACAACTTGTACATACTCGGAGAGCGACACGGTTCATCACAAGCAAGTTGAGCCGCGGTGCCAGTGCATGAGCTACCTGGCAGAAAATACGCGCCACTTCGATCGCGCTTGAGCTGTTTGTCCCTATTATATTCACAAGCTATTACCCTCTTCAGCACTCATCCTCACCGCTGATCACTATGGCTGCCGTGACTCAAGTCCTCCCCTCCAGAATAGCCGCACTGACCCGTCTCCGATGCGCGATATTTCAGACATCCTATAATCCTACCTCTGTTCGTACGGGTGCTAAATATCTCCGCGCACGTCTCCGTGGACCCTCCATGGTCGAGTATTATCCCGAGGAGGTCACTGTCGCAAAATTCAACCGCATGTTCCATGGGGAATGGAAGATCATGAATCCAGATGAAGAGAACAGACTGGCAGACATAGAGGCGAAAAAGCGGAGAGGGAAAGGTGCCCCGAAAAAGGCCAAATCAGCAGGTGTGTGCCAGACATTGTCTCGCCTGTGTTGCAATCTGATGAGCGTGAACGCAGCCGAGAGTCGGAGGACACACAGGAGACGGTAGACTCCACCTATTCGTCCCCTCTTTCGATTATGCCCATAGATGGTGCTACGCTGTGCGCCGTAGCCAGACTGTTCATAATGCAATATGTCGTGGAATTCATTATAATCTGATAGAGCAGCGACATGGTGGTATTATTCTTTGTGGAGAGCACTACATGGACCGTGAATCTCACAGAGTGTCTTGTACTGTCGGAGGTGCATTATTGGCACTTGCTGTCTCAACCTAGCCCGCTTGTGGTACGTCGTGTATACAACTAAATCATGAGTCTCCTTGTTTTAATTTTGCACAGATAGAACTACGGCTCGATTGTTCTATTTCAATGAAATTGCGCCTTCTGATGTGAGGAAGGTCTTACATATTAGTGTTATGTTCGATTTTAACATCCTCCTCGCGGGATTGCGCAAAGAACTCATCAGTGTCGCCAGCTCTGAATTCGAGGTTTCTCTGAAGGTAACATGTATTTGGACTGCCAAGCTGCAGGCTGTATACGAGACATTCTCGAGATGAATGAATCTCTTACACTGGTGTCAAACTCTGCAAAGCTGGAGACACTACAAAGTCACGACGCTATTAACATTGATTACCAGACTTCTGCGACGCTTCCGTATTTGCCATTGTTTGCGCTGACAGACGTCACTTTCCGCTATAGAAAGTCGGCCTGTTCAGTTTGCTTCCGCTTCTCTCCTGCTATAACGAACGGCGTCATGGACAATGATACCGGACTCGTGAATTTTCCTGCAGAAATGTCTGTATTCATGGAAAAGAATAATGAAGCGCAAAATGGCGTGAGTAATTTTATTTCTCATTCAAGTTCGGCTACGGTTATATGCGCACAGATACAGTTCCTTTCCGAGGACACGGTATCAGAAGCATCCATGGCGCTGCAATTAGAACGAATGCGTGTCGAGGAAGCGTTGTGCGCCCGCGATGTCGCCGTCCAACACCTCAGTGAAGCGTGTCTCTCCGTCCGCCATAAGGATAGTATTGTCGAGGCACTACGGCAAGAGAAAGATGACCTAGAAAAACAAGTCGGACTTCTCAAATGTAGACACTCGACAGATAGTCCTGGAATCAAGGTGGCGGAGACCAGGAGGAAGATGACAACAGAAGTTAGAAGACTTGCGGAGCTATTTCGAAACATGCGGACTGAAAATACTATGGCCAAACAATATCAAGGTGAGGAAAGCGAGGAAGGAGAAGCGTATTCAGAAGATGAGGAAATATTGCACAAGGTTGCTTGTAATTTTGACAGTCTTTGACAGATAGCGTTCCAGATACGGGATTACAGGATATCACTCAAGAATGGGAAACGACTATGCATCGTCTTCTACTTCTCATAAGCGAATCAAGCACACTTGCCATTTTTCGGGACGTGTCCAGTGAGACGCCGAGGCTTCTATCACCTATTCCAACGACTCCTGGCTTTATGTTGTCTCCTGTTGGATCCCCGAACATCATGGGTGCTGAACTATGCTTGCAAAATCTCGCATTAGAGGACAGTGGTGCACGACAAGATGTATGTTCCCTTTGGGATGGAAGGCCCCGGCTGTTAGAACTGACATGACATAAAGGGTGCAGGGGAGAATTCAGACACCACAGATTGTATACGAATACGAAATGCCACTCTGGCTGCCTTGCCTCTGCCTTCTGATGTGCCTCCGGACGTCTTACGGCCCATTGTGATTCCATCTCCCTACACACTCCATGAATTTCTAGGAACCGCGCCTATTGTGAGTTTGTGAGCACCGAAGATCCATGTCTTCTTGATATGTTTGTGTTCTTGCAGACAATACGCGCCCAGTAAGTTGCTTTAATTCCAATTTTACATGTTATGCATCTTTCGCAGACTTGGAAATTATCGCGTGTTCCAACAATCTACCACTGCCTGGTGCCCCGAGAGGGAAGAGCATGGTTATTTCCTCACCCCAGCGTTCAAGTGTCACACCAACCCTCGCGTGAGCACTGCACATCGATGGGTCGTTGTCAATATGTCTTCCAAGCTCAATAGGCCGATTGGTGAGGAGAATACTGTGGCTGTCGCATGCCGTTGACATCGCAATATAGAATGTTTTTATAACAAAGATGGAAAATGGTATTACGCGGGCATATACAAGGCTTTCTGGCTAGACGAGTTGACATCTCGGGAATGGGACAATCTATCGACCGAGGTAGGCGCTACTCCTCTTAATTCCGGGGCGAACAGATTAGCTCAACTTTACTTTACGAAGGCGACCCAGAGTCTCATCAAGGAGACACTCGCAGGTCGAAAGAATATTTCGCCACAGAACGTATACGAGACGAGTCAATTGTATGCGGCGGGTGCGCTCAAGGTTACTTGCATCGGTCTGCAATGCGTCGGCTTCAACGACGCGCTATACGGTGCATTGCTGGACCACGCGTCTACATGTGCTCAGACTGGCAAATGGCGATGCACTTCTGCTGGCGGCGGACCTTTCAGTCCAGGCTCTACGTGGGTTTCGCCTATGGTTCACCTTTCTCCGAATGCAGGTTCGGCGGTTTTGACAGTCGGCAAGGACTGAGCTCGTGAGATTTCGCGACCCGGAAGTAGAGTTGAGGGCGCAGTATTGGACTAGACGGCGTCTCGGACACAGCGAGTTGTTCGCTAGACTGGATTATGTTTCCTATTTTGTTATGTTCGTTTTTGTGGTTATGTGACCATCTTCTCTTTTGAGCATGTTTGTTGGGTTTGTAACAATTTCGCAAATGTGATGATGATCTTTATGGTTTTCAATCATCAATTCATGCTGCATGAATGTGATGCGGCGACCATCGAGGAGGAGAATATATTAGCAAAGACCGTGCAAGCTCGCGTCGAACCGTGAACAACAGACGGGTAAATATGGCGCGGAACCGTGAATGGACTAAGTAAATCGACGTATTGACTAAACATAAGCGCCTGCGCCTCATTGCCTTCACCTCTGGTCCTGAGGAGCGTATTGAACTTTTCAGCATGGCAGCCTCAGGCTGCGAGATGTATTTGCAAGTGAGATGATCAATTTTGGGCCGCGCCGCCGTCCACACGTGTACGGTTCTGGTACGAGACTAGCCACACCGCAGCTAAAAGAATACTGCGGCAGCATGCTGCGCTGAGCTGATGTAGGAACTCTTCGACATCTTCAATGTGGATAGCATGGTGCGTGGGCCAGTTTCCTCTTTTCTGGAAGATCCGCCGTCATGTTGGGCCTGTGGTTCAAAAAATTACTGAAATAAGATATTTTACTACGCAGTTCATTGTCTGAGATGTCTGAAGGTGCAAGACACGGTACAACATAGGACGTTACTGTTCTAGTGGTCTGTTACTCACCTCTCTCTTTAGGCAATGGGCAGACTATCTTTCAGCAAGCCACATGCCGGAGATAGTGCAATTAGGGACGATCTTCTCTGCTTACAGCGAGGACAACATTTCAGTTTGATCATGTTAGGGCCAGCTACCGTCTTCTGTGGCCCGCTCAAGTGCATATCGAGTATTTAGAGCAAGCAATGAAAAGTCAGACAGATCACCCTCGTTGCCAACATGTTCTCCGCCACTTGCACCCTGAGTCTCCTCGCACTAACGCTGCCAACAGTGTTCATATTCTTTATTCTGCGCAAGCAGTCCAAGTGCAACATCAGTCGTGGTCGGAGGCTAACCAAAGTCAGCGATGCCTATGCTCTCTTAAACCCTCCGCTCCCACTTGCATGTCAGCTCCAGGCCAGAGCGATTGCGAATAAGCATCTGAAGCAGACATTCAAAATAAATTCTACGTTCGTCGACGATAGTGTCGATGTCCATGCCGCGTTTACGAAGAAGGCTCTGAGCCTTATTTCTGTCCGGGAGGTCCTTTGGAATCAGATTGCACAAGTTGCACTTGAGACCGTGCAATCGAATCTATCTCATTTGGAATCCAATCCCCACCACATCCGGTTCGACACATTTATCCAAAGAATCACAATTCGTATCATTACAGTGTCACTCCTCCACGGTGACCCATCCGTGATGCATCCCCACGATATCGATACCGTCGCACGCAATATCAACAAGCTTTGGATTCTTTCCAAAACCACAGTGAACATTCCCGATACTCTTGTGGGGGAAATCAACGATCATCTTCGGCGCTGGCTCCCTACATCACTAAAACAAGAAAATCCACTTGAATACCTCATCCCCACCTACGAGACGACGTGGCGAGTTATTGCAGCTCTAGTTGCATACACTTACAGCGAAAATTCAATTCGACTTGCCCTGCATTTATTTCTTGAAAACCCATCCTCATCGCAATTCACTCGGTTCTGTGATGAACATCCAAGTACCGAAAGCATTGTAAAGGAGACATTACGACTGCATCCTCCCGTACGACGCATCTCCAGAGCTGTGGTGATAGGTTCATCCCTGAGCCAGTTGTTCTGTCACCGCACCACTCTGGCAGCGGACATCGAGGCGATTCAAAGGAGCGACGTCTGGGGACCTACAAGGCATGAATTTAATCCCTGGCGCCACCAATTCTCCACAAAAGAGCAACGGAAGACGATGCTACCGTTTGGTACAGGGCCGCTGTCATGCATTGCCAAAGAATGGGCACCGCGTGCGGTGGCCATCATTGCTGCTACGGTGTTAGAGGAGGTTAAAGTGCATAGGCAGTTCGTTTTGGTCATGGGCCCTTGCATGGGCCAACGGGAAGGTTGGGATGGATGGACGATACAATTAGGTGGCACAAATAATATGTGATAGAGATGTGTTTACTAAAGGCTTCCTGCATGGTATAGAAAAGGTAGCATCACGTCAATTTTCTCATTCAAGAAGGCTGGTATTAGCCCAAATTCATAGCAGCAGCTACAGTGTAATCCACAGGTATATTGCTGAAAGATTGTCCTCATACTAACCCTACGCATGTTCTCACTTCCTTCATGGTAACTTCAGAGAGTTCTCTTGCTTTCGAGATACCTGCCCGAGCGACGGAAGACAGATACTCTGTCTCCCCCTTGAGTTTCTCGAACTCTGCTCGAGGCCTTCTCATAACTTCTTCGACAGCTTCAGTTACATCTGCCTTGAGCTTGCCGTGGCCCTTGTCATGATATCGCGTTGCAACTTCTGAAACTTCCTTGCCGGTACAGGCCGCTAAGATTGTTAAAAGATTTGTAGCACCAGGTCGTGCTTCCGGATCATACGTAACACCGACAATAGGATCAGTGACAGCTCCTCGAATCTTTGCTTTGATCAGAGCTGCGTTGTCAGTCAATAAAATGCGAGACTGAATGTCGGGCGATGATTTCGACATCTTGGCTGATGGATCCCGTAACGAAAGCACTCTTGGGGAAGGAGCTATGCAACTTGTGAATTGTTACAAACGTGAATATGTTGAATCAAACGTACTTTGGACATGTTGGGGCAGAGGGAAGAGCGGATGTTGTGATTTAAAGGTTCTATTGAAGTTGTCGGCTAAATCACGACACAGCTCGATGTGTTGCTGCTGGTCCTCACCAACAGGCACATGTGTCGTTCTGGTTCAGCTGCCGTAAGACATTAGCGATATATGATGACAGGTATAACTCACCTATAGATGAGGATATCAGCGGCTTGCAGGACTGGATAAGTGAACAATCCGGCATTGAGCATAGATTCGTCTACTTCAGACTCATCTCTCGCATTGCGTGATGTAGCAAGCCTAGACTAACGGCGTGTTCATCAGACAAAGACAACAACCGAGGTCGGAACACACCTTCCAAGTAGTCATTCTACGTAGTTTTCCCATAGGGGTTATACAGTTTAAGATCCACGCTAACTCGGTATGATGCGGATTCTGAAATGGCGCTCAGTGACGCAACCTGCAAGACAGCGGTTCTTGCTCACTTCGTCTTGGTGGAATATGATAGAGCGATTGGGGTCGAGACCGATAGCCAACAGCACAGCCAACATCTCTCTCCGCGCGACACTGAGCGCGTGAGGGTCTTGAGGTAGTGTGAGAGCATGCCATCCGACAATAGAGAAAATGAGCTGGTCGTCTAGTGGAGCTTCTCGCTGCAATTTGACCCAGTTCAAGAGTGCTCCGAGGAAATTACCCAGCTGAAAAGTACATAAGTGGCACAGTAATTTCGAGCAGAACAAACCTTACGTGAGGTATACCGGTTGGTTGTATCCCAGAGAACACGACCCGCGCAGTTTTTGTTGTGGTGTCATTAACTGGCTCGCCGCGATTGGCTGAACTGAATTGTCTGTCTCTGGCTCTCCTGAACGGTAGAGCGGGATGATAGCGTATACGGGGTTCAAGACAGGATGTCGAAGAAGAAACGCCTCGAAGACGGAATAGCAGCGACATTCTCCACGCCAACAAGCTTTACGCGACGCGCTCGGGTCCGCAAACTACTCTATACTCGTGACCTCCACTATCTCGTGCCTGTGCACTCAATTCAGGCGAAGTAGGATCCTCTGCGTTTCTTGTCCTCAAAAGTCATGGAGATCGACCAACTTTTTGATATTCCTGGCGGGGACGAGTTCGAGGACGTTACACAGCTTTTTGCTGCAGCCTCAGAGGGTGAGCCGATCCGTGGCCTCTGGTCGGTTCCTTCACTGTGATCGCTGGAATTAGATATGGATTCGGAATCCCTCTTTTTGATGGACGGGTTCACGCTCATGGATGCCATGGGTGCATTTGAGGTAAAACATTATTTATGAATGTTTTTTCGCCGTTTGATATTCACCCCCATCGTCTCCAGATTGGAGAACCTCGTATGGACAGTGGCATGCTTCTCGAGCAGCAGCATCACCCATCGTTCAATCCTTCTACATTAATGCTACCCGAGGAGGTGTGCTGGATAATAGAAAGAACATTTGCGTGCGAGGTGAATGATGATAGCATCCTGGACCTTCCATGCCAATATATGTATTTACCTGTTACTTCAGATGGAATGGCATACTGGAAATATGCTTTCTCAAACTGTTTTTACATTGCTCTATGTGCACCATTTAAGCGCTCTCAATCCCGACTTCGCGCCTCACCTCTTAGACCAGAGATCAGATACAGCACGTCCTCCGGAACTTGTCACTCTGGTCTTACGCGCCGCAGTCTTCGCATTGTTGAAATCATGCGACTTTAGTTGGCGTGAACTCTCTAAGGGAAAAGTCCATGAGGTCAGTATTCTATCTGTTCATCGCATCTTTGTCTGTATGTAGCGCGAGTCCATCTAGATCGAAGATTGGTTCGGTGAGAAATGTGATGTGTCCCTTTTAGAAGGCGTCAACAGCGATTTCGTTATCAACAAACTCGACGATGCTTGTACTTGGCTGCGGCATTCTAACATTGCGACACACAAGGCCAATCTCCTGTGTGATAGACTCTTGCTGCGTCAAGTGCGTATACTTGATAATACATCACTATACTCTACTTTACTATGATTATAGGCCATGATGCGAATATTCAAGCTGGCATTCCCTCTAAATGCTCCAGAATTACGGACTATAGCTATAAGTGCGCGAGGGATACTGCAAAGTATTCGCAATCAAGTTGTGGAACCACCAAGCCCGGAGTCTCCAGCTTGGCATGTCTTAGACCCTTACATCAGTCGACGGCTCTCCAACTTCATGCCAGTTCGTGTGATACCACTAGCACCTCAAAATGATATATGGGATTCCGTTGATCATCTCCTTGACGGTCTGCATGAATTGAGCCAATTGCTCGAGAGTCCCTACGTGGTTACATGGGAGGTATGATATTTGAGATCCTCTCCCTGTGACGAGCATAGCTGACGTGTGCAGATCGTAGGTTCCTTGCGGATTTGGTCCCCTCATAATCGTCCACATTGTGCATATCTACGATCCCTGGTACAGGTATGTCAGCAGTCTCTCCCCATCCAAGCGCCCATACATAGACTTCCGCAGTCTTCAATCTTTGATAGAAACTTGATCTTTGGAAAATACGCTCCAATATGGCTCATCGATCGTTTCTTTCATGAAGCAGTAGGGTTATCGTATGGTGCAGTCTTGAAAAGTCTGAACACTGGCGGCAGTGCAGCTGCCGATCTGCTGGTGCAAGATATGGAGCGTCGAATGATCAAGGTATGACTACCTAGAGCATAACATTTATTGGATCTGACCTCAATCCGAGCTCCTCGTCGCACAAATCCGGTGTCACTGGCATAATCCACCGAGGAGACGACGGCATCTAGCCAAATCTGTTCTTCAATGGCATGAGATACACGACCTGTTTCTTCAGTTGCATTCGTACTGTGCACCTACCGTGAGCTAAGTTGCCTTCGCTTGGAGACAGTATTCTTCATCCCTACGCGTAGTCTTCTAGTGATCGGAAAGTTACGGATTGTCTTCCAAAAATTGCACTCATGCGGCGGCTGTCTGCGGCACGAGAGGTCATTCTCTCAGGCTTTCAACAGGATCTGTACGGACCAGAGGAGATTCCCATCGCTTACTGGTTTGCCACTCGAGTTTTGGAAGAACATCTAGTATGTATAGACGAAATCTCTGATCTTGTCCAAAATGGTAGGCTTTGGCCAATCTTAAAGGGGAATGTTATCTGACGCGATTATTCAGGGGACGTGGCAGATGAGATAACCTTTCAACGGAGATTCCTTACCGCACTTCAAGTGATGTTGATGGCTATGTGTGTGGTAAGAATATCTTCTTTAGCACACGTCGTACGTCCTCATGCACTGTAATAGCTCACATACAAGCCATCGACACAATCATTGGATAGAACGCATCTCAACTTCAGAAAGCGATACAAATGGGCTCTTTCTCCGGCATTTCATAGCCTGTCTCCTGCGCACCCCCTCCCTGATTTGCAGCAGTTTAGCCCACACGTGATAGAGTTACAACAGGTTGTAAAATGCTTCGCATTGCCTCGCATGTACACGAACTAATGACGACTTTAGCACACGTGCTACTCCCCAACTGATGCCTTCAAACTGGCTAGGGATATTTTACAAGATCTCATCTGTGCTGAAAGCCCTCCCGGTTTGTCTGGACGCTGGCATAGTCTCCGCCAAAAGGTACAGTATTTATTTTGATGTCAGTCACGTCATGGATCTACTCATGACCTTGCTTTAGTTCGTTCGTGAGCTGACTTGCCTGTGCGAACGCTCATTGTCAGCAACCTCCGGAATCGGTACCGTTTTTACTGACCAAAGACGATTAAAATGGCAGAATCGTAGTCATCCGTGGTTCCCAGACTTCCTCGTCGACTGACGTGTGTGTTTATGTGTAAAATGCAATTTTTAAAGAAATATCTGCATAGATGTCGACTTGGAAGTGTTTCATTCAGGCCATAGCTCTGATACTGAACACGCCTCCGGTGCTACGCCACGATCTTGTCTGCTATACGAGAATAAGCTTTGTGAAGTACTTCACAGCTATATCGGCGATCTGATATCAAGCTTAGACATGATTGTTTGGACAGTTGCGCTATACGGAATTAGTTGTCTCGAAGACTCTAGATACTCGTGCTGAAAAACGACTCGGGTTCGACGACGGACTTTCTACAGCACTTGCCATTTTGGGCGAAAAGCTTGCACCGCCGCGGCTGGCCATTACTGAGCTGCTCTAGTGACGTCGACTCGTATCTCAGGTTTCACACGAGAAGCCATCCACAAACCTTTGAAATCTCTGCGAATGTCCGTTCGGAAACGCAGCCAGTCGCCTGTACTCATAGGACGACCCAGTGCCCACCATCCGTCCGTGACACTCTTTGACACTATAGCTGTCGAAGTTGCAGGCTATGAAACCAATCCAAGGCGTTCCAAGCGAGGCAGATTCTCAAACACTACTTACAAAGAAGAATCCGACGAGGATGAGAAACCTACGGCCTCTTCTAGCTTAGCTCCCCGCCGTCGACTCTCCGAGCCATCAACACGGCGTGCGACTGAACGCGGCTCTAAACGTAAATCCACAAATTTGAAAAAGACAGATGGGCGCAGCGATTTCCTTCGGAAAATCAAACCAATACCACAAACATTAGATGTTCCCCACCCTGCTCCTTCGCGATGGCAGGAAACGTATGATGCAATCAAAGATATGCGTTCCAGGACCGTCGCGCCCGTCGATACGATGGGTTGTGGCCGGGCACAGCTGGGGGAAACTATTCCAAAGGTAAAATATCGCATGGAATCTTCCTATTCACTCTGCGATTGAATCACAGGCCATCGTAGAATCAGCGATTCGCAACGCTCGTTTCTTTGATGCTGTCATCTCAAACAAAGGACGAAGTAACATCTGCTGCCGTGGAAAAATTGCGCGAAGCAGTGGGCGGCAGCTTGAGTGTCGAGGCCGTGCTGAGAGCTGATGACCATATCATATCGGATGCAATCTGTAAGGTTGGTTTCTGGCGGCGCAAAACACAGTGTGTTGAATTTAATTCAATGCATAATGGTACTAATTTGGATATAGGTATATAAAGCGAACTACACAACGGCTACATGATGACTTTGACTCTGATGTGCCGAAGACAGTCGATGAGCTGTGTTCACTGCCAGGAGTGGGTCCAAAGATGGCATTTCTCGCTCTGCACGTTGCTTGGAAAGTGTGGGTGCGAATACTGATATATACTGATTTGGCTTTAACCAAAATTAAGCAGAAATGCTGGTATTGGTGTCGACGTACATGTTCACCGCATCACTAATAGATTAGGATGGCACGCTCCTCCAACGAAGAATCCGGAAGAGACACGGTATGTAAATCTCTCGACTCTATGTCACCTCCCATGCCTGATTTGAACTTGTGTGGATCAGACTTAACCTTCAGTCATGGCTACCAACCGAGCTCCGGCCAACATTCACGGGTCTTTTGGTGGGATTTGGGCAGGTAAGGACTTAAACTTTTGCCACGGTTATGGACAGCTAGAACATTCGTTTTGAGACGATCTGCCTACCAATTGGCCCCCGTTGCCAGTCATGTCAGTTAAGTGACGGCTTATGTCCAAGCGCACAGAGCTCCAATAGCTCGGAGTCCTTGAGTCAACGAGCGGGTCCGAGTATCCAGATTTCTTTAGACACTTGAGTATGGTAGTCATGACTTTTGCGCTAAGGATACCATGTAATACAGCAAACAATTTTACACTAAAACATCGCTATATCACCTGAGGTCAAACGAAATGGCTTGAACACCGTGCCTTCCTGATTAGGTTGTACGCGGTCCTGCGCACCTAGACCATCGCGGCGCCGCAACCTCGATCGTACGTCCTCGTTGCCACGCTTTTGCTCAGGGCTACCAAAAATCGAAATTGCTGCTTTACATCCTACACGCTTTTTTTTCGTGCTCTCAAGCCGGATACAATGCCTGTTCTAAAGAGGAGCGCGTCGCCTCTCGATCCTATGCATATAGTCGCGTCCCATACTACTGTGCGACGTTCAAAGCGACTGAAATTAACCACAAAATGTGAAGACGAGGCATCAGATACACTCATCACAGTAGACGGCTCAAGTAGTGTCATAAAAAAGGAGGACACTGTGAGCGGGATAGATAAGGTGAAAGTGCATCGTAGGTCAACGAAGCGGACAGGAACAGCATCACCTCGTAAACAGAAGCCTATACAGCAAGCATTGGACGTACCGCATCCTACTCCTCCTCGGTGGCGCGAGGTGTATGATACAATCAAAGACATGCGCTCTCGTAAAGTGGCACCGGTGGACACGATGGGGTGTAACAGGGCGCAGGATGAGGAGACAGTACCTCAGGTGATTACATTGCCATATGTGTTTCTTTCTAGATAGCATGCTGATCGTATGGCTAGAATAGGCGATTTGCGACTCTAATATCTCTCATGTTATCGTCTCAAACTAAAGACGAAACCACTTTTGCTGCAGTCACGAAATTGCGAGAAGTAGTAGGCGGAGCTTTAAGCGTCGAGGCCATCTTGAATGCTGACGACAGTGTCATCTCGGAAGCTATATGTAAGGTTGGATTCTGGAGACGGAAAACGCAGTAGGCTTCATGCTCTTTCGACAAGATGAGATACTAAGAGAAACTCAGGTACATCAAGCAAACCGCCGAGCAGCTCCGGGACAGGTTTGACTCGGATGTACCGAAGACAGTGGACGAGCTGTGCTCCTTACCGGGCGTTGGTCCTAAAATGGCTTTTCTAGCTTTACAAGACGCGTGGAAGTTGTATGTTTGCCGCTGCTGCTTTCCGTATCAACAGTGTTGAAGACATATTTGTAGAAATGCTGGTATTGGTGTAGATGTACATGTGCATCGCATAACCAACAGATTAGGATGGCATAAACCACAGACCAAAACACCAGAAGAGACTCGGTATACTTATACTGTTGATCCAAGAATTGTCTTTCTGACATATATGCAGATTGAACCTTCAATCATGGCTGCCTTTGGAACTTCACCCTGAGATAAACAGCTTGCTCGTGGGCTTTGGTCAGGTTTGTGAATTTTGATTGTTGCTAGGATACTGAATTGCTAATATGATGCACTCAGACGATTTGCATGCCCGTTGGCCCCAAGTGTAATGACTGTTCACTTCGTGAAGGGCTATGTCCTAGCGCTCGGACTGTGAAGAGCAAAAGCAGGAGCAGAGGGGTCGTCGCTGAGGTTGCCGGCAGTCTATCCGGACCTAAAGTAGAGATCGGTATCGAGCCAGAGGTCAAGATAGAGCTCTCAGATACCACCGTACGTCTTGAGGAAAATACCTCAAGATCTCAGCTTGAATGAAGGGCAGCAACACGCCGTACAATGCGTATCTGTTCTCATCTACATCGCGATATCCTATTTCAACTGTACAGTTCATGGGTTGCTGCTTGTCTCTGTGCTGCCCGTTTATCATTTTATCTAAAGAAGATTCAGTGACATGTCCCAGAAGCCCTTCTCCAAACGTGTACATTGCTCCCAGACTCTGTGCCACTCTTCGAATCTCTTCGGCGAGGGCGGCTCTGCAGCACCAATCCCTTCGATTGTTTCTAAAACGTTTATTCAGGACTGACGAAGATGTAGCATCAACACGAGCCTTACGAAGTCCAAGTTTTACTGCAGCTTGATAGTCTTCGCCGGAGTAGTCCTCGATCCACTTTTGGTACGGATTACCGTCTAATACGACCCAGCTATCTGGCTTGGATGCTTCTTTCTTTAGCCATAATCCTACCTCACCGTATCCCAGTAGACAGGCCGCTAGCGCCATCACCAGCGTAGAGCTGTCGCCTATAGCAACGGTGTAAAGTCTATGGCACGAAAAACTAGTCAAGGGCTCACCGCTCAACCCGACATCCAGCAGATAAGCACCATAGGCAGTCGTCGCAGGTGATTCAGGTGTATTCAACAGCTCTTCTTCGCTTACTCCCCATTGTGCGCAGAAGGATTTGTGCATTGAGACCTCGGTAATTATGTGGATTATAGTCCTAGTGGCCGCTTGTATAGACCCAAAAGTAGACGACTTTGTGGCCAAAAGTCTGTGCAAGGATGTTCAGATCAGCAGAATCCACGTGGGTGTGGTAAGTACCCATAGGCTCTTGCATAATATTTGAGATACAGGTAGTCTTGTCTGGAAAACATACGATATGAAGTTCTGGCTTCAGTCATCGGAAGGAAGACGCACTTGATGAAATGTAAAAAGCATTCTCGTCGCAGCGTTCCCATCGCAAGTTGTTTCACGAAATCGTGCTGCACATACGCCTTCCAGATATCCTTCGTAGACTCGATCAATGTCCGAGTGAGGGGATGGGGGTTGGTCTCTGATGGTCTGTAACGAATTCACTACGTATACATGATTCTGGCGGGACAAAACTCACAGTGGTACACTACGGGGGATGATGGGGTGCATGTGGTTGAGAGGTCCATGACCGCTTCCGATGGGGAAAGCAGTCTCAATTCCTAGGTGTGTGTACAAGGTTGCTACACGTGTCGCTTCCGAAACTAATGAACGTCAAATGACAACGTTATCAACTCCATACCACTACTGTCACAGACCTGTTTTTCCGCGGCTAATGGCGCATGCTAATGCAGCGGAGAGCGTGCAGCCCGTTCCATGAGTACTCTGCGACTCTATACGGGGTCGTAGGAAGAGTGTGATAGCTTTGTGTTCTTGTAGGACATCTACCACCAAAACGCGCGAGGACAGGTCGGGCTCGGCAACTTGTAGAATCTCCATGTTTTCCCCTAGAAGACCCTCGCGAACAACTTGGACATGGGGATGGGCAGCTATTACCTGGTCCACGTCTGAGATTGTCGTGGTGATATGTCCGCCCTTGAGAAGGACAGCTTTCGGACCGAGGGAGAGTAAATTTCTGGATGCTACAAGCATATCCTCTAGATTTTCGACTTTCGAAGGGAGACCTCGATGAGAGAGCAGTAGGACGGCTTCCGCTTTATTGGGGGTTATCAAAGCCGCCAGTGGGAATAGGGTCGAAATCATTACATCGACGGCGTCAGGCTGCAGAAGGGTGTGTCCAGAGGTAGAGACGCAGACGGTGTCGCATACCAAAGGAGGTACAGAGTCGCCATAATGGCTCTGCAGTGTCTCGGCCACAGCGCGCGTAACCCCAGCATCCGAGAGCATGCCCGTCTTGATTGCTTTGATCGAGACATCACTCAGTACCGAGTGCAGCTGTAGCACACGCTGAACATCGCGATCATCAAGATCCAAATGAGCTGCAACGTACCTGTTGCTTGACAAAGTCCGGTGGGACTGGATGGACGCCTTGGACACCAGTCGTGTTCTGCGCCGTGAGAGCAGTGATCACACTCGTTCCGTAGCACTGGAGTGCCGTGAAAGATTTGAGGTCTGCCTACAAAGACCGGGTGAGCTGCCAGCGGATTTCTGATACTCATACCTGAATGCCGGCTCCTCCACTGGAGTCCGAGCCCGCTATCGTCAAAACTGCTGGATAGTCCACCTGGAGATCGGGATTCGCCTGCGGTAACGTCATCGCTAATATCAAACACTCAAACTGCAGAGTTAACGGGCTACTTGTTCGACGGCTCTCAAGGTGAGAGCGGACTCAATGATACTAACTACTGGGGCCCGTCACGGTTGGAGCGCACGAACGGTGGGAGAATGTTGTGAGAATGACGGCAGGATTTGATCCACTACTTATGCCTCGAAGAAATTGGTGTGTGGTGCGACGATAGCATTCGAATGATAAGTAAAATTGGGCTTCTGGGCTATCGACTCGGAGCAGCATTCAGAGCAACACCGCATAAGATGACGACGATATGATGTTCTGGGAATATATTATCACCGCCCGATCGTCATGCGTGTGTGGTGTAATGGTAACATAGGGTCTTCCCATGGCCCTGCCTCGGGTTCGATTCCCGGCGCACGCACCGATGTTTGTTTTTGTTGCTGATGACCAGCACTTGGTAAGTAACTCTTCCTCATTATTTCAGTGAATGTTGATGTCTGGACTTCATGACCCTCAGGTTTGCCACTGCAATGGTATGATCACAATAGGTATGCTTCATGACATAGTGTGAAGTGATGGTCTGAACCTAGTATGTAATACTAGCCTGCTGAACCTGAACTTTCTAAATGTGAAGAGATGGCCTACACCTGGACCTTCCTCAATCGAAGGCATTATTTCAAGATATGAGTTCATTCAATTGGCACCTGATTCACAGGCAATAGGATATGAGAATTCTTAAAATTATCCTCTTATTGTAATGAAGACATGTTATAAGCAGCTTTTCTCATATATCCTGAACTATGATCATCAATCAGAAGCAAAATAAGATGCCAGTAGAGTCAAAATAAAATGTTCACTTGAAAATATTCAAAGTTCTGAACATGACCGAGAACAACCAGAAAAAAAGAAGGGCCCAACCGGGAATTGAACCCGGGACCTCACACATTGAGGTCACGTGACGTGACCGGGAAAATACCCGAAGCGTGAATCATACTACTAGACCATTGGGCCGATATGCAGGATCCGAATTATTTGTACATAATCATAGGAACGCATCACTAGGCGGAACTTCCATGGGTCAACGACATAAATGAGACGAGTTTACAATGCACTCTATGCTGCCTCATGACACCGCATGATACCACTAGCGATGCAAGTAGAAATGAAATCGTTGATTCGGAGATGTCTGTCCAGCTTTGAGGTGTAGTCGAAGGACCAGATGCTGGATATCTGTCCGCTCGTCCTTTGTGGTACACATGCTCCAAGTTCCTCCACAGGCGCGAGCTGTAGATACGTTACTTTCCGTCTTCAATCAAGCTTTCCATTGACAATAAGTGGCACTCAAACCTATTCCGTGGCCGCAACAGAGTGAGAGCTCGATGTTCACGAGAGTTACTCCGTCGATTGTGTCGCCATTAGCCACTGCACTAATACATGTACGTGCCCGGGAATACCACACTCCAGAAGTATGCACTATACTGAGTAAAAGAGCGACAATATCGAATCAATCCGCAAAACCTTTCATACATGAGATCGGTTCGAAAAGACCTTACTCTAATGCCATATAACAATATCTACGGCAATCGTCACAAAAGTCCGAATTGTCCTTCAGATGTTCGATCGCTTCATCTCGAACCACCGTCAGCGCCCGACCAGCCCTTCTCAACAGCCTGGTCGGATTTGTCGATCCCACCTAGTGAAATGTCGCCATTCCATGTGGGAGCGGCACCCAAGAGACGACCGGGGTGGAAGACGTTCATGACCACCATCGCAAATGTGATCATCATAGCGTCCATGACAACTGAAAGATTGATATTACATCGACGTTCAGAGGGCTCAAAAACTGCGTTAACGCACCAAAGTATCGCTGCGTGTGGATAACGTAGCCGTTCCATCCACCAGCAAGTTCCTAAGAGAGGAAATCAGCCGATGTCCTGACAAAGAAAGCGTGGACATACAATAGTACGGTACCATGATCTGTCAAACAAGGTGCACGTTCAGCATCAACTGAAAGCAAGACACAGTGACACCCACCGGAGATAGATGCACAGACTACTGAACACTAGCGCAGCTAGCATCTGCTTCATGCTCTTATCCAGGGCGTATGGTGTCGGCTCAGATGCCCGAGAATTGACGGGACGATCGTAGAGATATCGCAGCACGAATTCCGAGGCGAGAAGCATGTAAAAGGTGATAGCGGCTGCAAGAGCGATCGTAAATATATATGAATTCTAGAACGTAGCTCCGCTTACCCATCTGGAAAATGATTCCGGCCAACATGATATCGCTGCCCTGTAGCGGAGTGTCAGAATTGTGCGGACAGGTACCATGCACCGGCTTACAGCAGTGGGGCTCTTGCCTGAATTCACCGCAGCGGATGCGGCACCACCACCCAGTGCTTGAATGATCAATGCGATAACATCCTAGAATCAGCCATGAGTAATCACGCCCATCAGCTAGAACTTGATAAGACAGCGACGTACGCAGCTGCAGAACACGATAGTGTCTACAATAGAACGCTCAGCTGTTGGTATAGACATCAAAGTGATTTGAACGTACACCATTTGGCACTAAGGCGACTGTACTGCTGGCCTAGTCGACGAATGCACTGCCCCAGCATAACGAAGCTGGCTGCAACAAGCGGAGTAGGCGCAAGGATCGTACAGACAATCCTGCAAAGTCGCTGTCAGGCGGAAGACGATCTAGAACGACGGGATCCACTCACTGCATAGTATATGGTGTGTTGAGGAGCACATTATAGCTCGACCACAGCCTTCCCGCCCAGCCGACCAACTCAAGAATACCACAGAAGCATATGGTGGGTATGAGCCACCATAGCCGATAGCGAGTTAGCTGAAACAGATGCGCAGCTGGGCACAGATCAGCCTCTCGCCGAGCACGTACGATGGGGGACACAGACCCGTGGACAGTCCAAACAAAACGAGGAAGAGGTAGCCAAGCCATGCGTCGGGGGTGTATCCATACGGCGACTTCAAAGAGTGGCCTGTGTTCTTCGTAGCGTCGACTGCAAGTCAGAATCAATTCAGCCTTCCCTTACGAGGCGACATCCTAATGGTCGCCAGTACCTTCCGATGCCATCGTCCTATTACGGAGGCGTCAAGAATAAGGTAGACAAAGAACAGGGAGCAGAAAGAAAGAAGGCGCTATTCTGACCTCACGGTGGGATTCTCCGCTCTTTATACGATATGTACGGAGACGAGTCTCTAGATCGCTGACCGACAAGACGAGATAACGCTGACCGTCGGAACTCCGCGAATGCATCCTCGGCGCGGTGAGCGCAGCACCACCAAGTGGCAAGGGCACGACAGGTGCGTCAAAATGGTGGTGCGGGATCAGTGATCTGTTGTAGTGGGACGTCAGATTGCCGCCAGATTGTGAAACAAAAACAGGCAAGTGCAAGTGCACACTGTGCCTCCTTTGACTTGTCCTCGCTAGCCAAGCAACCATTGCGGTGCCCCGTGCTTTACAAGCTCAGAGTTGAGTATTTTCGCCCTAGCTAGCGTCGCAGCGTCGCAGGAAGCAAAAAAGCAGCAAGGCACACCAGCCGCCCGACGATTTCAAACTCAGCGGCCCGAGGCAAGCGCTCCGAGTCGTCGTAATGCGCCGGTCGATCTGGACGCAGTGCTGCGCTCTCGCCGGGTCTCCGACATAGAAGGAGAAGTGTTAGGATCGTGTCGCGAGCAAATCGAGCACCTACGAGAGCTCCTCGACGGTTGGCGAACAGAAGACCTGGGGTGGCGGGACCGGCATGTTAGGAAGCAATAGCCAACTTGGCGACAGATCGGATCTAAGTCTGAAGCGGAGCAGAAGGAGTGCGCGCCCCACTGTGCACCATGGTCTACGGGCGTGCCTTGTCGAGATTACATCTCGCGTAAGCTAACTCTTAGTCGCAGATCCTCATGGAATCCAGCCTCACTCACCTTGCATTGCTCTTGACACAATTTCTTTGCGCACTGATGCCGGCCCCTGCGTGCGATAACGGCCGATGACAATCTGTGAGAGCACGCAAAAATGTCGGCGCGAGCCACCGGGCTCCTGAAACAAAGCTGACATACCGCAGCTATCCAGCTTCCAGGCGTCCACTGCGGCGGCTGCACGGCTGGTATGCATGCGTGTACACGCGTACTGGACAGTTGTTTGGATATCTATCCCAAGCCGGACTAAATCCCCCTGCCATATCGATTCACGCGGCGACCTTGCCTTGGCAGCTGGCTCTACTTCATCCGTGTGGCCATAAGTACCTGGCACCCGCGCAGCCAGACGATGGCTTTAGTGCTGCGATCTGTTGTCACATTCGGCAGCATCTAAAAAGTGCACTTGGTCTTTGTCCTTACTTATCGCAGACGGCTCAGCCCCACATTGAAGTTGTTCCAGAGTTCATTTCTGATTTTCTCGTACGCCTGGTGAGTGCCGTGACGATGATTTCAGACTAGCGCTGGGCATCCAAGGGGACAGCCACGATTCATATACGCCTGCTGAGGTAAATACCGTCTGAGATCGAGGGGTTCCTGTCGACTATTCGAAGATCTCTAGCCCCTGGGGAGCTCTCAGCAGATTTTTCAGCTGCGTGTCGGGCAAATTGACTGATTCGTGATGTTCACGTTGTTATATATTGCAAATCCTTGAGATACATAATGTGAGAAAGTCATATCTTGAAACGAGAATATATGCGCATATACTTATATGATGATAAGGTATTATCACTCCATAAACAAAGGGAGGGGCATCTTCCCAGTCACCGCGCAGGCCATTTATAGTCACACAAGTGCGGAGAGTACTCACGGTGAAGGCATGTCATATTGTAGCACAACATAAGCCGAGGTCCTAACATACACCGGTGTGGGGCGGACTAGCATGATGTTCTTAACATACATGGATTCACAACCACCTTTTCAACTATTGGCGCAACCGACGCAGGTGAGTGTCCTTGACCTCAGACTATTCATGAATTGATCTCATACCCATACAGTTCACGTGGTCGTAAAATGATCTCCCCCCCCCGAAGTACAGTCAACATGTACAACTTTCGGGTCAAGTTTGGAGGATGGATTGCGGTTTTCTCTGTCGTCGATGTGCATTTAGACACTGTGACGGAGGGAGAGGCTCGTGTCGAAAGAAAGAAAGGATAAAGAAAATAGGATCGATGGAACCTAAAGCGTTGCTAGTCTTGGATGTATGCGCGTCACGAGGTATTCAAGATGGAGGAGCGCCACCCAAAACCATTCCGAAACTAGCGGCTGTGTAGTGTTTGTTTCAGCAGATCCCCGAGGGTCAGGACGCATGGGCTGCGGGGTGAATTGCGGGGTGAATTTGCGTGCAGCAGCAGAGAGAGAGGACCCAGTGAGCTCGACATGGAGTGCGATGTGCAGTGATTGAGAGGAGAGGGAGTGTGGTCAGGTCAGTCAAGGCGAGAGCGACACAGACGAGGCGGGAAGGCGGTCCGACGCGGTCCGATGGAATTAATCGGACCTGGGGCGGGCGTGGAATGCGCGCATCCCCCAAGAGGCAGCGATCTCCCCAGGCCCATGGCCTCCCCGCCCACCGTCCGAAAAGCCCCGCACCCTCAGCCTGTTCCGAATTCTCGCTATATATGCTACTCCCCTCCCCGTCTCCCCGCTTCCCCCCCTTCCTACCTCTCTCACCTCACCTACAGCCATGTCCGGAGAGGAGCCCCCAAGCACCGACATTATCACCCTCACCCGGTGCGAGTTCATCGACCCATATCTTGGATCCCTCTGACCAGACGCCATTCGTGCAGCCATGTCTTGAACGACCAATTCAGCCTCGGGCCAGCTGCAACTGGCGATCTCACACTCCTCCTCACCGCCATCCAGACTACATCCAAGTTCATCGCCACCAACGTCCGCAAAGCGCGTCTCATCAACCTGTAAGTCCCTCTCTCTTCCTCTTGTCCGCAATTCGCACCTACCGTCCTCCAGCGTCGGTCTCGCCGGCGAGACCAACGTTCAGGGCGAGGAACAGAAGAAACTTGACGTCCTGTCCAATGACATCATGGTCAACTCCCTCCGCGCCTCCGGCAAGACCGCCGTCCTGGTCTCTGAGGAGCTCGAGGAGGCCATCATCATCGAGGACAGGTACAAGGGCAGCTACTGCGTCGTCTTCGACCCCCTGGACGGCAGCAGCAACATCGATGCTGGTGTGAACATTGGCACCATCTTTGGTATATACCGCATCGTAAGCTATAACTATCCTTGCCATCTCGCCTCCCGCTGATTTATCGGCCGGTCGCGTAGAAACCTGGGTCTAAAGGCTCTCTTGAGGACGTGCTAAGACCAGGCAGTGAGATGGTCGCAGCCGGATATACCATGTCGGTCCCACCCCACCCCATTTTCTGATTCTTCGCTCACTTATCACCCACTGTAGGTATGGCTCGTCCGCGAATCTCGTACTCACAACCGGCCATGGGGTCAACGGCTACACTCTCGACGCATCGCTCGGAGAATTCATTCTGACGCACCCCGACGTAGGTTGAGACTATGGAGTGCCGTAAACGCGGATCTGACCTTCGTCCCAGATCAAGATTCCTCCGCGCGGCAAGATCTATTCTTTCAACGAAGGCAATTCGATGTACTTCAACCCACCGGTGATCAACTATCTGAACAGTATCAAGTACCCGCAGTCTGGCAAGTCGCCCTACAGCGCGCGGTACATCGGCTCCATGGTGGCGGATGTGCACCGCACACTTCTCTACGGCGGCATCTTCGGCTATCCTGCTGACAAGAAATCAAAGAGCGGCAAGCTGCGCATCCTGTATGAAGCCTTCCCGATGGCGTTCTTGACCGAACAAGTACGTGCCTCCACAAAGCGACCAAAATCTTGGCTCATCCACATTCTACAGGCTGGCGGGCTCGCGACGACGGGTACTCAGCGTATCTTGGACATCATCCCCACCAGCATCCACCAACGGTGCCCTGTGTTCCTGGGCAGCAAAGATGACGTAGAGGACGTCATCAAATTCCATGAGCAGGTGAATGGATCGGTCTGAGCGCAGTGTCGTATGCCAAGATAAGCAGTATCACGTAGCTGTATACTATCACTCGTTGTACTATCCGTGTATCAATACGACCCCAAGCAATGCCACGAAATTTTGAAAAAGTACTTGCGTGGGGACCTCACTTCTTCACCCACCTATCGAAAACATCGAATATCACGCCGAGTACTATCAGCCCAAAGCTGCCCGCACCAAAGATGTCTCGGTTCTCGCGTGATATCCTCCACGCCAGCCAGGCCCGGCGCAGCGCTCCGCTCAGCACGACCTGCGAAAACACGGTGTCCCGATTTCCCGGGAGCAGCTCCTGGCGGGTCTGCCACGCAAGTTGCCCGACGTCTTCGCGCATCCGGTACGTCCTATCGCCTTTGATCCGGCGTTCGGCATTCGTGGCCAGGATAACGCCTAGTACGACCTCCTCTTCCGAGACGAACGTCCCCGGCTTCGGCGAAAGCGAGTGCATCAGCGCTATGCACCGAAGCTCGGACAGGTACGTCCGGAACAGAGGCAGCACATCCTCGCAGCTAGGCTGCCCGAAGGGCCCAAGACGTGACTCGAGCAGCGGCAGCAGCTTCATGGAAATGTTGTCTGAAAGTGGTGTTGACGCAATTGCGATGGAAGGCACGAGCACGGGGCTCCGCGTGGAGGGCGGGAGCGGGTTCAGCTTGATGCGACGATACAGCTTGCCGAGTGCCCGATCGGACTGGTAGCAGTCGGCCAGCGGATCGCTGATATTGTCCTCGTCGGCGTGCCAGTCCGGGCTGTATGGTAGGAGCTTCTTGGGCGCAGTGCGGCTGTTGACCGCTCTGCCGGTCTTTGGGTAGTCCACTGCATCGCTGCACAGTCTTGCAAGCTCGATGCAGCGTTTATCGAGACTTCCCTCCTACGACGCGGTTAGCCGCGTCACCCGGGGAAGATACGTCAACCAACCTGGGACTGGTCTAATGACGGACAAACGTATAAGAACAGTTACTATATTCATTGACGCGAAAGTTCGCACCAGCAATAACTAATCTCCGAACTGAAAGCAGACCCTGTGATTCATAAGGGGTAAGTGAGCCCATTGCCCGCTGATGGAGATGCGTACCAATACATCTGAATGCATATACTCCACGATAAAATCGCACACGTCATCGAACGTAAACTGTCGCGGTGGAGGCTTCTCATCTGGATAGGCAGCCGGGGGAACGTGTAAAACTGGAAGAAGTTGACTATAGTGGAAGACGTAGTATAAATCGCTGCGAGCAGTATCAGTACAATATGCATAACATCGACTGAGATCATACCCATCGAGATCTCCACCACCGAGGCAAGAGGCCAAGGATCGACAGCCTGTGTGTCGGGTATGATAAATGCGAATCAGGAGTACGACCAGTTAACCCGCATCGGCTAGCATGAACTTACCCACTGTTGGTAACACAACCACATTCTTCATATGCTCAAAGAGACATATCTGGCCATCGGGTACGTCAGGCTTGCCTATCGCAGTCACACGCTGGACTGTTTGCAATAGTTCAGCATTCCACCCCAACTTCTTGTCGTGCGCACGCACCATCACCCGGATGAACTGTAGGGCTTCTGGTTATGAAACAAAGCCCCTTCAGCCAAATCGGTTTCGCATCTGGAGATTCCTGGACACATGCTAGACGATTACGTCATAGAGAGCTTGCGTCCAAGTCGGGTATGCGACATACCGAATATTTGTCCATTTTTCAGCTGATACACAGAATGACCTTGCTTGGTATAAGCGGGCCCTTCATCTGCGACGCCCACGAGCAAATATGAATTTGGGACAGGGATTCTGGCGCGGGTCTTCAAGTCTCGCAGGACATGCTGGATTCCGTATTCTCGCAGTCCAAGAAAAAATGGGTCATTGAGAACGTTCTCCGCTAGAATTTGGCTTCCACAATCAAGGCCGATATCCAGGAGGCGCTGTAAAAGGAAAGGTAGACGATACTGAAACCCTAAGTGATGGCTCTGCAAGAGCTCTAAGTACTTTTCGGAAGAGTCTCGCGCCATGTACGTTGTTCTCTTAGCTTCGTCTTGCAGGTTCTCAAAGACTTCATCGCGGACCTCCCGATCTTCTAGGATCGTCACGGGATCACTACAACGGGTCAGTCAATAGTCCACTCGAGTAGAATTTCGCATTCACCGTGTCAGATAGGCTCGCCTAGGCCCGTGGAATGCTTCTGCGATGTGGAGAGACTGGATAGGGTTGTTCAAGTGAGCGCAGAACAACTTTGCACGGCATCCGTCGCATCGATGGGGTTTAAATTTCCTCATCTCGGGCCGCAAACAAAGCTTCCGACCTTTGAGCTGCCTGTCCACAGCAACCACGCCTTTATAACCTGTGCGTGCCATGAATGAAAGACACTAAACATGATTTGCCGAAAAAATTACCAATAAATCTAATTTGGAACTAAATGTCCGTGCCACTATTAGCCATGTAACATGCATTCTAGTCCCGCTTGGAGACTTACAGCAGAGGGTTTCACCCCATATGCTCTGCGTTCTGGCTCTTCCTCACACATTCCCTCCCAAATGGCATTTGCCAAGTCTTGTGAGATCCTACCCAGGCCGTCCACATGGGATTTGGGGTTATCTCTGTCCTCGAGAATCTCCTCGATCTCCTCCCATTCGTCCTCAACAACCTGTACAGAAAAGTACGTCGATGTGAATGCTTGACCGATGCGAGCAGCATATTTCGCTGGGAGGGCTATCTCAGAGAGGTCTCCTAGCCTGCGCCTGATTTCCTCCGCGGTAATAAATTCACGGACTTCTTGACCATTCGCGTTCCGTGATACCCGTTCAAACGGATTAACAAACCAGAAAACATGGTCGCCCAAGGAAGAATTGGAATATCCCAGCAATTCGAACACCCTGCTAGCGATTTGGAAGCCGCCTTTCAGGATGGTGCCAACGCGGTCTTGTAGAAATGAGGCACCGTCTACCTCTTGATCGAGGCGAAAATGGGACCGGTTTTCATCCACAAAATCAACGCGAATGAAGCGATCCCTATTTTCCCAATACTCTCGAACGACGCTATTGGACTGCAGTCGAGAGGGACCTTCTAAAATCATGCGAGTCGGAGTAAAGGTGACATGATGACACGTGAATATATTCTTATCAGAGCGTTGCTGGCCGAGAGACATTGTCCTTTCCCCAATGATACGAGCAAGGTATCGTCTATGGTCCACGATAGTGCGAATGTTCGGAGACACAGGGGCGCCTTTGAAGTCCTGTAACACACTTGCTGCAATAGATGCCTGTTCACGATGCAATTTTTCAATATCAGGCCGCAAAGCACTGAGTTCTTCAGTATTCAGTGATCCATTGTAAAGCAGAGCTGTTAGCTGAAAGGCAAATGGCCAATCTCGATCAAATACTTGCATCCAGGCACGAGCTTTACGAAGCCTATCCACGGAATACATGCCGAAATTGATGGCCTCCAACGACTGGCGGCGGATAGGGAAGCCAGCTACTTTGCATTGTTCATCAAAGCGCTCCCATTCGCCCTGGGTCGGGAAGCATATGCGCACATGCGTAGTAAATGGAGCAACTCGACGATGTATTTCATCAAGCATTGTGACGCGTCGCCTCAAATAGCCACGGTCCGTGTAATTGCTCTTGTAGTCCGTGGTGTTGCCCTGCGGGTCAATCTCATCAATTTCCAAATACTGGTCTACGTCCTCGTCATAAGCGCCGAAGTGGCCCTCTGAATCATCGAAGAACGCATAATTAGCCGGCTTCTCGAATTTGGGCCTCCCAATCAAAGAAAAACACGCGACTGTCGGAAACATTGGAAAATCAGCATCGATGACTGAGCCGAGGTGGCTTACATGGATGGCCAACGTCGTACTCAATCCAAACGTGATCGACGTCTGCAAAGTCAATTACGATATACGCATCAAGCTGACGTGAGCTTGGATCTTCGAGCTAGAATGACCCTATGAATGATAAGAATATTATGAAAGAAAATGAACCGCACCTCGATTCTAACGTTCTTCTTCTTATAGTCTATTGCAACCCATGACTCTGATACACCCCTTATAGGATATGTCCATTCCGCAGAGAACGAGGGACGAGGAGGACCGGGCGCAAATGGATAGAATAACATGCCTAGCTGAGTTATATCTACTCGAATGTGTTCTCTCAGTGCATCTACCTTGGAATCGCGTAGTTCCTCCAACGCCGGGTCGATGTATCTGGCCTTGCTTAAATAACTCACGATCTTGCGAGATGCCACACGTTCAGAACGGCGGAGGTAGATTGCACCCTTCTCGATGGGAATTGAGTACTTGTGAGCAGAAAGCCATTGAAAAAGCCGGCTGTGGAGATCGTAGGTTTTTAATTTGGGCAGAGTTAGAGTTCCCGTCCCTTTGTTCTGTACACCACGGCTTTCGTCCATGTCCAAGACAACTTTGAAGTTGATAGCGCGGGCGTGAGGGTCAGGTTGCTGGAACTCGTCACTATGCAGAACGTTCGCAATTGCCCTGCGCACATCATACACGGTGGCTGTGTAGGGTATTCTGGAGAGATGGATGTCCATGTATCAGTTGGATCGGTGCACTCGGTAGGGTAGGGAGAAAGGGTTAGGGAAGAACAATCGATAGCATAGACCGCATTTATAGTTGGAATTGGACATGGTGGGGTCTGCCGGACGAAACTTAGTTGTCGCTCGCTTTCTATTGGAAGCTCTCTTGTAGGTTTATCGAGATAATCTATGGGCGTTACGAGTCGTTAGCTCTCGATCTGAGAATGCAGCAGCCACACTACGTACCGGGACTACCTCGCAGGGGCAACGCGTGTGATTCAGGAAGCCTCGTAATTGTAAACAATGGAAGAAGTTCGTCTCGGGTACACCTGCTGACTACAGTCCGAACCTGCAGGCGAAAGAAACAATACGATAAGAGCCAAAGAACGAGCGTCACATCGAAGGAACGTGTTTAGGACCGGTGCCAGTTAAATAGTGACCATGCATTCTGCCGTCCCACTCTAGCAGCGTTGCTCACGCACGAGTGTACAGTACACAGCGCCCTGCAGCGCCTTAGGAAAGGAGACGCGGCGCCACAAAGAGCAAAGTCATGTCAACAAAGCAAGAGTGAATTCAGGCTGGCTGAGCGCGCAGTGCCCAAGCACAGCGACGCCTGGTCGAGCATCTGTTCTCTTACTATCTATCCTTGCTCTCCGTTATGACACAGCGACCGCAACAGTTCACCAAGCCAAATCTCACTCCGAAGAGGCATCATGGTTTTACTGTGCTGCTCTGTATTCTGGGAACTCTTCTCCCGCCTCTCGGTAGGTATCAACGAGATTATCTGCGGGTCATACTTCACATTGTCGCACCTCCTTACAGCTGTCGCCGCAAGGTTCGGGATAGGCGGAGACTTCTTTCTCAACCTCATCTTAACTATATGTGGCTACATCCCTGGTACGTTGCACATGTTTCTCGCACTTTGTGCTCCAGACTCAATTTACGAAACAGGACATGTCCATAATTTCTACATACAGGTTAGATTCACATGGGCCTCTTGTGAAAGCGAACCTGCTCACATTTCTTTAGAACATCCGTAATAACAAGAATAAACAGCGGACGCCCAAATGGGTGCAGCGATACGGTCTTGTCAGCACCTCGGAAGTCAGGAGGAAAGAACGGCGATCGCAGTGGGCCACCCGCTATAACGATCGTCTTCCTGCTTCCACTCTGCGCGATCAGCCATACGAGGAGGGCCAAGAGGGTGGCGCCTCTAGCGTTGACCTTGCTTCCCAAGACGGCGATGCTAGACCCGGCGCACATAGAAATGGCAGCGGCGAGCTCTGGAGTCATAACGAAGAGCGTTTCTACGGCGCGAACGGAGATTCCGCCAGCGGAGAGTCTTCGACCAGGTGGCGTTACCCTGCTAATTTCGAGGACGCGGCACCTGTAGAGGCATCGAGGAAGAGTAAAAGGGGAAAGAAAGATAAGAAAGATCGGTGGGCCAGAACCGAGGATGCATATTCTATCACAGATGCGAATGGCTCAGCAAAGAGGCGGAAGTCGAAGAAGCAGAGCAGAACTGCGTCCGCTAATGATGATGCTTACTCTCGTACATCGTCGATGACTGAATTCCCCGAAGACGCAGAAGGCGGTTTATATGGAACCCGTGAACCAGCGCCTGCAAGAGATACCTCGTTGAATGAGGATGATATCTTCAACCAGGAGGTGTGATGTAGGTACATTGGTTTTATAAATCGCGTTCTCGTTTTAACTTGATTGCTGTGCCAGGTGACACGGAGCTATTAGGTTTCATGCGCACATTCCGGGATTATATTGGTCGATCGGTACGATGCCTAGGAGTGAAGAACCGTTTCGCCATGTACTATAACTTACTCAGGCGTGCTATTTATCTACTAGATACCACTGATTACGAATTATTTGCATGGGTTCGTCCCCTTCGACGTAGTTCCATATGACCCTGTGTCTGTTTAGCAGACTGTATCCCGAAAGATATCGATTCCTGCTTCGAAGGACAATTCATCACGACCCACTGGGAATCATAGCGCTGACAATAGGCCTGCAATTATCGCGATCACTGACACTACAGTGTAGTTCAGCAACTGAGGTCCTGGGATGGAACATCGGAAATAAGTCAAATGAGATGACGACTGAACTGCATATATCTCCCGTGGCCGGAAGCCATGATTGCCTCGAGTCCAGCCTGATGGAAGACAGAGAGTAGAATTGGCATAGCATCGCGTGCTGATTGAACCACATGGGCGACGCTCGGCTCCCACCCGGAGGTCGTCTCACACACTGCTTACACAGTGACACTCACCGTGTTATCTACGATCATAATTATAGGCAACGAACTGAGCTATTTCTTGGACGTTCCCACTCTGAAGTTTCCGAGATTCTTGCCTATCTGAATGATATATATATATATACGTCGGCTGAGAATGGATGAACAAGTCCTCAACCCCGTTCGGAACACTGCAGCGGCAACTTGGCGACGACTGAGGGCAGGATGTTGCAGCAACTGGCTCGGCTCTTGATCCTAATTCTCATCTGGGCCTCTGTCTCGCGAGCGGAGGTGCTGGTCGATTTCCAGGTTGCAGAGCCCCCTCCCGTGCCTCAAGACACACAGCAGTGCACGATACAGATACTTGAGTGCGTCAAATCATGTCTCAAACGATCCTACAGGTGCTGAACAACTTCAATAAGACGTACATTTGGTTCGTCTTACGGGGAGTAAGTGGTGTTTGGTTTCGATCAAATTACCTCGCTTACGGTCTGGAATGTCCTATCGACAGTCCGGAGATTGTCCAGTATACGTATGTTTGGATTCATTCACAGGGCATGAGTAAATGATCACCTAGTGCCGATTTAGTCCACCTACGGATTGTGGGCCCGTGGGCTCATGGGCTGGAATTACTCTAAACTTTACTGTGACATCGAATGGGACCCAGTACGATCGCTTGGGTGCGTTCTCTGCTGACTGTTTATCGCAAGTCAAGGTGAAATGATGTGCTTTCTATCCAGGTATCTTCACATTCCAAAACGTGGAAAGTAAATATCCATTGCCATTATGTTACAACGATATTAATTGTTGTGTTAGTCTGGCGTACATCGACGCCTGAGCCCACTCCCGACGGTATAATTTGGACGTACATCAAAGATGCAACGCGCTATCTACCGCTTTTCTCAAAGGCTGGAACGTTCATACTGGAACTGGACAACATTCTTGAGGAAGGATTGACGGGTCAATACGCGTGTGAGAGAGAGTTTGATATGAAGTTCCGCTCAGACATTCTAAGCCGACCTCCGTCATTTAGCGACCCTCCATGCAACATTCTATGCGTCCTCTGCTCAACATCCCCCGGCGCCTCGGGCAGATGTGATCATACCCGTGACAACGCTAGCCAACAATACTGGGGATGAGGCATCCGTTCCTCCCATTTTTTCTGTATGTCGGCGAGGAAGCTCAACTATGACGGTCCGACGCTGATCATGCTTAGCTTAATGTGACTGTTCCGCAAAATGCCGTCCAAATATACGCCGAGCTTTACGCTTCGGGCAACGGGGACGAGGAGTTTTGGGTGTGTTTTCTGTCCTATGATACTACAGCCAACTGATATTATCTCTGCTAGTATTTCAACACTGCCAATGAGTATCTGTACGACCTGCCCGCTGGAATAACGTACGGCAACGGGCCATTCCGGGAAGTCCGTATGCTTGTAGACGGACAAGTCGCAGGCGTGGCTTTCCCGTATGTTCCTCCTCGTTCACTCTTTTTGGCCTGTTGATAGTTATACGGGTTGGGTCAGATATGCGGTGATTTTCACTGGCGGAATCGTTCCATCCGCATGGCAGTACGTCAATTTGCTAGCCTTGTGTACAAACTCCCAGACATGATTCCCCACAGACCGATTACATCCTACGGTGCTTTGGACCTGCCAACTTACTTCATTGATCTCACACCGTTCGTGCCTGTCCTAGCCGACGGCCAAGCACACAACATCAGCATTGACGTTGTTTCTGCCGAAACGAACCACACCATAAATCCCAACTGGTATGTCTCTGGGAACTTGCAGGTCATTACGGACTCCTCGTCAAAGCCGACTACTGGAAAAATTCTTGTCTATGATGTGCAACCCTACGCAGAGACAACTACCACTGGTAGCGTTGGTGCCAACGGCGATGTGAACGTTACAGTTAGTGCCAGCCGGAAAATCCTGATAGAATCTGAGATCATCAGCGGAAGTGGAGAGTATACCTACGTCGTGTGGACGCAAAATCTGGAGTATTCGAACACCCAGTATTATTTAGACAATTATAATGTCCAAGTAAGATCGCTTTTTCTTGTTATGTGAGATCTAATTCCGACCGTCGTCGACTAGAATGTTGTTCAAACAGCTTCCGGGTCATTTGCCTCCACCCACAACGGAGTCCTTTCTCTCAACGACCAATTCTCGTACCCTCTTGACATCAACTTCACTGTCCTCAACTCTGAAGGCACTATCTGTGAGCGCTGTCGTCAAGCTGTGCCTCTTCATCCACTGATTGACGAATCGTAGGGGATGCGGTCATTGATCATTCATATGATCGGACGCAGCTGCCTAGTCCTTTCATTTTGGGCTCGACGATCACGGAACACCAGGTCGCCTGTAAGTGCAATAGTTCACGAGAATTAGTCTCTTGCTGAAGGACCATATTAGACGGCCTCTTCGTCGAAACTAGCAGCGGAAATTATGGAAATGGGACAAGCAACAATACCTTCAACTACGCTGACCTGAACGGAAACACGTATTATAGGAATGTGAACGCAGCTTATGAGAACATCACCTACGACAGCATCGGCGGTACACTTGCCGCTAGCAACTCTTTCGCGTTCCCATCATTCAATTCGTTCGCTCAGTTTGTGATGGCGAAGCCTCGTTTACCTGGAGGCAGACAAACAGGGCTTTAGGCTCATAAATCACGCAGCGTAGATATCGATGGTCATTCTTATATGTGATTCTACGATCGACAATACATGGATGCCAAAGCATACAAAATGTCTCCCACACACTCCGTGGCGCGGCCCTACGGAGTAGCCTGCGTGATGCGGTCTATAACACCGTGGCGGAGCGATGAAGCCCACCGTCGTTCCCGTGTTGAACGGCCCACAGCTCCGTGTTGAGACGGTAATTCTATCGCTGGAGTCTATCTGATGAAGATTGAGTCTAGCAGCGTGGTTCCTCGTCTAGAATAGGCCGACGACCCTGCCCGACGCAGGGTCCAACCCGACTTCCCAGAAGCCTAAAGCCAGCGTTGAGTCCATGCAATCAAGCCTTACAGAAGGAACATACCGGGCCGCGTTCCAAGTCCAGGCATTGTCTGCATGTCGCCACACAATGGGTACAAGAATCCAGCGCCGGCGGACAAACGCACTTCGCGAATAGGAACGGTAAATCCTACAGGAACGGGAAGATACTATTATGGACAAATTCGAGGGATCATGATTCAAAGGCACGTACCAGTAGCAACACCTTTGAGCTTGGGATCATGAGAGAACGAGTACTGCGTCTTCGCCATGCAAACTGCAGTATGGGTCAGTAAGTGTGCCTCTCATCTATCTAAAACTACTCACTGGCGAGGTTGCCAAAGCCTTGGCGAGTGTACGTCTCAACTTGCTTCTGAGCCAACTCACTCAACTCGACGCCATCAGCGCCATATATGTCTTTGCAAATGATGGCGATCTTGTCCGTAATAGGAAGGTTCAGGTCGTACAAGAACTTGAAGTTTGAAGGCCCTTCACACGTAGCAACGACCGCTTCAGCGAGGGCACGAGCTCCAGTGCCGCCCTCGGCCCAATGATTGCTCACTACAGCAGCATCAGCGCCGGCAGATAACGATTCCTGACGAATGAGTTCTAGCTCCGCGGGGGTGTCAGATCTAGCCAAGTATTAGGTATACTACCACTTTGCAAGGAAAAGCCATGCTCTACTCACGAGAATTGGTTAATCGCAATGATGACCTTCAAGCCAAACTTGCGCGAGTTCTCGATATGCTTGATTAAGTTCTTGCAGCCCTCCCTGAGCGTTACCAAGTCCTCCTTAGTATAAGTTTCATGGAGAGCCTTTCCGGGCGTGACATCTGGTGCCCCACCATGCATCTTGAGCGCACGGGTGGTTGCTACGATGATGACAGCATCGGGGGTCAACCCACTCACGCGACACTTGATATTGCAGAATTTCTCCATGCCCATGTCGGCTCCAAAACCACCCTCAGTCAGGACATAGCCGACGCGGTCTGGGGAATCTCCTTCCTCGGTACCCGCAAGTTTGAGGGCCACGCGATCTGCCAATACAGAAGAGTTGCCGTGAGCGATGTTAGCGAATGGACCTGCGTGTACAAAAACGGGAGTGCCCTAGGAATAGAGGAGATAAGTAACAGCATTGCTGCATACTAGGTATGCCATACCTCCAGAGTTTGCATCAAGTTCGGCTTAATGGCGTCCTTCATGAGCACAGCAAGGGCACCACTGACTCCGATATCATCAGCAGTGACTGGATCGCCTTGTTTGCTCGTAGCAACAACCATCGCACCCAACCTTTCCTGCATGTCTTCGAGGCTAGTGGTTAAGGCCAGTACCGCCATACATTCGCTGGCAACGGAAATGTCGAAGCCCGTTACACGCTCGTGCCCCTGCTCAGTAGGGGCTTGACCAACTGTAATTTTGCGCAAGAACCGATCGTTCACGTCGATCACGCGGTTCCAGGTGATGGTAGCTGGGTCGACATCAAGGCGCGCAAAACGCTTAATCTCCTCAGGGGTGAGATCGTCAGGCTTGGTCTTGTCGATTCCAAGCTTTTTGAGACGTTTGAACATCAGAGGGGCAAATTCGCGCTTTCCCTTCTTCGCGGGGACCAGACGACTGTACAGGGCCTATTCCTTGATGTGAATACACATTACATGTAAAAGAAGTCCCTTCACAGACCTTGTCAGACTGCGTCGCCTCGTGGAACATTCTGGCGTCCAAAGCAGCAGCTGAGGGTAATGTTAATTGATGCCAGAGGAAGGTGCTATATGTATCGCATTACCTAGCAGGTTGTTGGCAGCCGTAACGGCATGGATATCACCAGTCAGATGCAAATTGAACTAAGGTGGTCGGTCACATTTAGAATAACATATCACCACGTGCGATAAGACTCACTTCGTCCATAGGAATAACCTGACTGTAGCCACCACCAGCAGCACCTCCCTTGATACCGAAAGTAGGTCCTTGACTAGGTTGCCGAACGCAAGCGAAAGCAGGTCGGCCCAGATGCGCGCCCAGAGCTTGCGCGAGACCAATAGTAGTCGTCGACTTTCCTTCACCCAATGGTGTAGGGGTAATTCTGCAAGGCATGACATTAGCTGCTCGTGAACCTCATGCAATCAACATACCCAGCAATAATGATATATTTCCCATCCTTACGATGGGCCAAGCGATCTAGAACACTGAGCTCCACTTTTGCCTTGTACTTGCCGTAGCTCTCAAGTTCATCCGGTAAGATGCCAATTTCGTGCGCCAATTGAGTGATAGCTTTGGGCGTCTGTGCCATTGCTATCTCAATATCGCTAGGAACTTTAGCCTGGACATTGAGCTTCAGCGGCTTGAGCTTCAACTCGCGTGCTTTCTCCCAAAGGCGTTCTGCAGACCTCAGGGTATTCGACATGAGCATCGCGACGGTCATGGGACCAACGCCACCAGGTACGGGGGTGATGTGAGACGCAACAGCAGAGGCAGATGTGAAGTCCACATCGCCTACTAGACGTTGGCCGGATTTCTTGGTCGCATCTAAAGTAATGCACATAGGCTCAAATAATCGACCGGGACAGTACGAGAGTGATAGGCACCTGGAATGTAGTTCGTTCCGACATCGATGACAACAGCCCCTGGCTTCAACCATGAACCCTGAACAAATTCGGGTTTGCCGATAGCAGAAACGACGATATCGGCACCTTTAATCTGTCATTGAAGAAGCATGAAAAAAAGAGAGGGCGTCAAGGAATTAAGACTCGTACAATTTCAGAGAGATTCTTGGTACGGCTATGACATTGAGTGACAGTCGCATCCCGGTTCCTCAGCATTGATGCGACGGGACTGCCTACGATATCACTACGCCCAAGTACCACCGCTTGAGAGCCTGAGATGTTCACGCCAGTAGATTCTAAGAGCCGAATCACGCCCGTGGGAGTGCACGGTGTGAAGAGAGGATCAGATGCACGGGAAGAAAGGTGACCAATGTTGTAAGCGTGAAAGCTGCACAAAAATGAGCAGATAATACAAATTTTTAGTGCTGGGAACTAACCCATCAACGTCCTTCTCAGGACTGACGGCCTCAGTAACAGTGCGCTCGCCGTCAGCACCAACGTGGTCTCCGAGGGGGAGTTGGACGAGTATGCCGCTAACAGACTGGTCGTCGTTGAGTTTCTTGACAATCTCGACGATGTCATCGACTTCAGACTCGGCAGGGATGTTAATATGCTTGAATTTGATGCCGACCTCTTCAGCAGCCTTGGCTTTCATACGGACGTACACAGACGAATCTGGACGAGCACCAGCCTGAATGATGGCCAACTGGGGCTGAAAGCGAGGAAATGTTGTCTGCAGGGATTTGATACGCCCTGCGACTTCATCGCGAATTGACCTACACGCGACCAGAGCAAAAATGATTGATTTAATAAATGTCGTGTCTACTCGGCGACTTACTTCGCAATGGCAGTCCCGTCGACGAGGGTCGCAGTGGGGGGACCTCCAGCAGCAGCGGTCGCCATCGTGCGATGCGGAAGAGATAAAGAGAGGGGATGGCTGAAAAGCCTGAGAGATTGGAGGAAATAGCCTCGCATCGATTGCCTTTTGAGGCGCGCGCCGTGTGCACGCGTCGTGCGATGGATTTTTCGGAAAATGATTCGAGTCGCGCGATGGCAAGTGAAACTCTGACGGAGGCTGCTCAGGAAAGTAGTGCGCGGAAAGCGCAGCTTATAACACGATGGCGAGCATGGGGAACGCGCTCTGACCTCGGAGCGTCGAAGGACCTTATATTTATGGCGAGCAGGCGCAGATCGACAAAAAGCATTATTTATTTAACTCGGCACGCGTCGATTCCCACGCCTTCTCACCAAAATTTGGCCGGCGCCTGCCTGTCTCTCCGTGACAAGACCGTCGGCGTCTTCCTCCATCCCAGCTGCTGTCCACCTCACCTCTTCATCTCCCTCTACTCATGAGTTGCTCCCAGGCCTTCCAGCTCTTCCGCTCATGCACCGGCTCCTTGTCTGCACGCAGCGTCGCGCGGGCATCCGTCCCTGCCGTCCGTCGGAGAGCAGCAGTCTCCACGCGCTTCTATTCTGACGACCGGGCACAGTCAGCTGAGGATACGGATAATAAGTCAGAAACAAACGCCCCAGGGGACAGTGCCTCCGATCCAACATTAGAGAAGCTGCAGAAGAAGGAGGCCGAGGTCGTTGACTTAACGGTGCGCTGGCTGCCTGTCTTGGGGCTAGAATCCGTGCTAACGTCCGATGCGTGGCTAGGGCCGGTTACGATACCTGCAAGCCGACTTTCTCAATCTCCAGCGTAATGCTGCGAGAGAAAAGGAGCAGACCAAAGACTTTGCCATCACCCGCTTCGCCACCGACCTCCTCGAGACTGTTGACGTGCTTTCCATAGCCCTCAAGTCGGTTCCACAATCGGCACTCGCCCAATCATCTGCGTCGAATTCTGCTCCCTCATCAGACAGACCTGCCGAAAAGTCTGCTGAGGCGTACCTCAATGAGCTCTACACCGGGGTGGAGATGACTCAGCGGCAGCTATTGCAGACCCTCTTCAAGTATGGCGTAAAACCGTTCGACCCCACTGGTGACAAGTTCGATCCCAATCGACACGAAGCTCTTTACCAAGCACCCATTCCTGGTAAAGAACCAGGCACTGTCTTTGATTGCCAGAAGTCTGGCTATATGATCAAAGACCGTGTATTGCGGGCAGCCCAGGTTGGTGTTGTCCAGGAGCAATCATAGCTTCTTATCTTGTGCATGGGACTGGAAGGGACAGGGCTCGTCTCAGTGATGAGGGGGGAGAGCTCAACTAGAGCGTATAATGTAGCATTCATGATACCTAATCAACGAATCTCGACTCCGAACGCCTCTGCCAGTCGTGACACTACAGCTGCATTTAGGTCGTTGGTCTCCTCGTTCGATAACGACCTGTGTTCCATTCAAGATGAATTTCAGCCCACGCTCTCATAGTAACACATACCTGTCCATCGATCGGTAATTAATGCGGTAGCACCGACTAGTTCGGTGTGATTTTGGATGCGTAAAGGTGTCGATCTACACAACTACGGCGTTAGTGCGCTATGTTGGCAACGTGGATATTCGAACGTACCATTTTGACGTCTTCTGCTAGATCACCAACCGTGTCCCTTACGAGGTCAAACACGTCGTTATCATGCAGTCCTGTATCTGGGACCCAGAAACTAACATCCTTGTAGCAAGGGGGATATTTCGAGTAGGGTTTGAACGTCGTAATCTCACCCGCCGCGAATTGCGTGAGGAATCTCGGATCCTTACTCCAAAATAGCCGGATGTCAGGTATGGAAAATAGAATCATGGCGATGCGCTCGAGGCCGAGTCCAAACGCCCAGCTAATGTTGTCCGGTACATCTATCGCGTAAGCAATGAGACCAGCACCGGTGCAGCACGAGACGGCCAACTTACTCGCGCGATTGAGAGTCTGCTGCTGCACAACACCGCATCCCAGTATCTCGAGCCACTTGCCATGGAAGAATACCTCCACCTCAAAACTCGGAGTCGTGAAAGGAAAGTAGGCTTCGATCCATCGCACGCGCAGGGGTTCCCCGCTGGTTCCGGTACGGCCGCCAAAGAGTGACAGCATAAGACTATTAAGCGAGAGCTTGAGGTTCAGCGCGACAAGTTCGGCGTGGCGTAGATCATGCGTCGGTTGCGGGGGGTTAGTCGCAGAGATGTGGGGAACATCTTCAATTACGATGTTGGACCGCTCAAGATGAGCTGTCAATCGCGCGTTGTCCTCTTCGACCTCGGCCATGCCTGCGGGAGTTGCTGGGAAGACGCGTGCCCCTTCCATCTGGTGGAACACAGGGTAGTGCGACGCGTCAATCTCGTCGCGGCGGTACACGTCCGCGGACAGGAGCCAGCGGCGTTCTCCACGCGAGAAGACCTCGACTTCATGCGCGGAGGTGTGCGTGCGCAGCATTAGATCGCGGTTTATGTAGTAGCTGTCTGTCAGCGCCCTGCCGGGGTGGTCCTCTGGGAAGCCCAGGTCATCAAAGTTTTTGGATGGAGTGACCAGTGGTGACCAGCCAGAGAGAGCGGTGAAGTCTGAAAAATGTCTCTCGACGACCGAGCGTAGGATTCCCAGTGGATGTGCCGGCTCCAAGTATAAGTTACGTGCTAGCTTGTCAGTTATGGCTGAAGTAATATTTGTGCTGGAGTCTGTAGGATATTTTTGTCCGAGTAGAGGAATCGTAGGAGGTTTATTTGGTGCGGAAGTAGAGAGGCATAGGCAGGACTTGAATGTTGTCCGAAAAATCAAAGGATTATACCGCACGCGCAGAGCCACAAGCATGATTTCGGCCTTGTGATATCCACAGGAGGGCTGGTCAGTTCATGAAGTATTTAGAGATGGTGTCAGACTAGTCCTTCGAGCAAGTCTATGACAAGTGACGGATTTGAGCCAGACCTCGGAGAAATCAGACCGTGACGACACGAAGTGTCACGTGTGACAGTACGCGTTCAGTACGCGTGACGCTAATCCAAGAGGGCCAGGGCGGCCCAGTTAATCATTCGGCGAAGTGGCTGCGTTGATAGCATTTGGCGCAATATCTCTCTCAGGCTGGGGAAAGGTATCATATTGTACCCGGATCCTCCTGCCGCAAGTCATCATACAGTATCTTTGACACCCTGTCAATCTGCTCGAAGCATGTCTCAAACCACTTCCGCACATCTGTCGACTTCTTCCCTTGAGCTTTTGAACTTCCTCCCCCCACAGTCAAAACAGATATCGCGGTAGCTAGCGCTTGGTCTGAATCTTGCGCAGGAGGTAGTAGGTCGCCCTCCAGGAGCGTGTCTCGTAATTTGTGAACGGATTCCACGAGCGGAGGGATGGCAGAGCTTAAAGTGGCTGGATCCTGCGGGGCATACAGTGCGGCAACGAGCTCTTCAGAGGCAAGAAGCAACGCATGTGAATGATCAGGTAGAATGTCCAGGCCCTTTGAGCGATCTGGACTGTCAAGGTCAACCGGCCTGTGAGAGAGTATATCGATCTGCACGCGTTTGTGCAGGAGAGTGGTGAAACGCAGTAGGGGCTGGACCTTCCGACATATCAAGACATGAGCGTATAGCTTGAACAAGGTGCACTCGTCATACTTACCTTCTTTGTCCGCTCCAGCTCGACTACCGACATCTTCTTACTGGATCCTAATCCCAACTCGTCCAGTTCATCATCGTCAAAGTCATACCTGTCCGGATCCTCCCCTCCAGCGTCTGCATCGGTGATCATGGCTGTAACCTCTCCATACGTATCTTCCAGCATCCCCCGATCCGAGACCCACCTCCTCCGAACGGCAGCGCAATTATCCTGCGAAAGATCGCCCTTTGCTTTCTCGATCAAATCGTGCACCGCGCCCGTGCGTACCAAGTAATCTTCCCCGCCCTCTAAGAACGAAGCCGCAAGCACCTCCACAGCTTCGCAGACATTTTTTGCAAATGATCGAGCTTCGCTCGCAAGCGTAGTACCACAGCAAGCGAATAGTGTTGAGCAAGTAGTAAGAGCCGAGATATTGGCCGCGAGATCCCTCAAAGGCTCTAGTGCCGCCCTGTGCGCAGGCTCACCCGGGCGAAGGGTTAACGCGAGTTTCGTCGTCGATGTGTACAGCAGAGTGAGTAGAGAGATGAAGTCTCTACGCAGAGTGGTGGAAGAGGGTCCTTGATGAGAGGCAGCCAAAGGCTGCTGCAGAGCGGCGCTGCAAGCAGAGCATGTTTGTCTTAGAAAATCAAGCGCTTCTTGTGCTGTAGACTGGGTACTGTTAGCTGATAAAGAGTTGCATGCAACTGGTAGCTTGCCTTTGGCGGCCTCTGTATTATGGGAGTCGACCATGGCGAGAGGAGACTAAGGGAAGATAAAATGCGTCCGATCAATCCGACACGATAATGATTGCCAATGCACGTGAAGCTTAGATTGGCCACCCGCGGGTTGCACGAAATGCAAAAGAGCGCCAGAGACATTTGACTTCCGCCAACAGTCAATGTCCCCTTCGGGGTGACATACGAAAAAATTGGAACGATACAGAGAAGATTAGCATGGCCCCTGCACAAGGATGACACGCTTTCCCGGAGTGGTAGACCTACGGGTCTCAATATTTATTTTCCTTTTGCTTCTTTCTGCGATCTCTCTCTTGTCTCCTCCTGCCTTCTTTTGTTCTCATTTTTCTCTCGTTGGAACACAGTCTTTGCGAGGCTGGCGTCCTTACTCGTCGCCAATATTCAACCTTCCAGCCACACTGACTGAAATGTGCTATAAAAAAATTCTTGCAAAGCAGCTATTAACCATTCCCACAGTACTCATAGCTCATTCTCAAATATATATCAATACACATTGTCAGAGTGTGCTCGATTCAGTCCCTCATAACATATCAGTCCCTCATAACATATATACATAACGCATTATAACCACACTGGTGTCATGCAGCTACCTCCGGCGTAGTGCTGACAGGCGGAGATTTCGAGGCGGCCCCTTTACCTCTACCCCATTTCACGTTCAGCGTCGTTCCCTCCAATTCAAGACCATTCGCCCACGCTTGCGCGGCCAGCTCCGCGGACTGGCGGTCCTTGAAATTAACAAATGCACATCTGAAACACATTCATTACGATGGGAGTTGTAAAAACCAGACGCTATAATGACACACCTAGACTTCGCGACATGGACAACGGATTTAATTTGCGAAGGCTGGACGGCGGGCAGTGATTGTGCTACTCGTGTACGGATGCTTTGCTCTGTGGCGGTCGTCGGAAGAGATGTCAAGAAGAGAGACATCTGTATAAAGTTAGGGCTCCGACCAGTGGCACTCTAGAGATAGACATACAACAGACTGGTCTTCCGGCGGCTGCAATCCCATACTCGCTGCATGCGTAGACAATATCTTCCGTGCCACAGGATCACTACGACCATGATACCTATCTTGTATATTTTGCTTCGACAGCTCGTTCTCCACAGGTAATTCGTGCCTAAACATGAGCGATAAGAACAATAGCGAGAGCATGCACAACCTGACGTACCTATATGGACATTCTGAGCCTCTCTTGCATTCTCCCTTTGCGTAGAATGAGCAAAGATGGGGTCTGTTTCGCTTGTAATACGGATCCGTACGCGCTAGCTGCTTCAGCATGTCCTTTCCTGCTGACGACGCGCGCCCTGAATCCAGCAGCGACTTGTTGCCCTCCAACTACCGACTGGTTAAGCATTCTAGTATATAGAGATATCACTCTAGAACTCGCCTTTCCCTCTAAATTCTGGGCATAATACTCCCGGTTAATCTCGCTTGTTGGTGCTTCGTTTTCAATTGCAAGTGCGGTGTCGCGAACTTGGGTCGGAAGGCCATATTCAAGGTCGAGAAGACATGTTTGGCACACATTCTTAATCTTCGCACATGTCTGGCAAATCACAGTCGTCTTGAAGCGCATGGCAGTTCCGGGGTTCCAGCGGAAGACGGTGAAGGGACGAGCACAGGTTCCACATGAACGGCCATATTCTTGCTTCGACTGAAGGAGACAGATCATGTAGTGATTAGATTATGTATAAGTAGATAGAGGATGAGTATCTACCATTCGTACGAAGGCATTGTCTCCGAGACCTGCAAGTATATAAACTCGGGCGTAAGTACGAGAATAGCGCTCCGGAAGAAATGGTACAGACATGTTTCGCAAAGAATGGGAAACTCGCTCTGTTCCCAGCCAGCCTTGTTTATGTCTAGCTTTGGCATCGAGAAGAGCTGCAGTAGGGGCAAGTGAAGGTCGAGTGAGTGTTTGGTAAAGGCTAGAGGCGCTGTGGCGGTTGGCGGGAAGCTACCGCTGAGTCAGCTAAGCTTGCGATTGGTGATCGAGGAGACGCTCAGATCGGTCCGGGCCTCTCGAATTCTTAACTGAACTATGAATTGACTTTGAAAAAAACGCTCGTCTGTACTCAGAGCTCACTGACATAAATCGGTCCTGATATTATTCTGTGTATGCCACAGTAACTTTGCTGCCGTTTTCACCGAGATATTCTCCTCACAGCCAAGTACTGCGTGTCATGATGATGTCTGTTTCATTCGGAACCGAAGGTGTGCTAGCAATTGCTGTCCGGCTGCGCGCCAAGTTCCTGTTGCTAAGATGAAGTACAGAGGCGCACTGTCAGCACAGCCAATCCCGTCTGCATTGACTCGCGTCGTTCCGAACGTGTTGTCTCGCATCTGCCAGCAGGTAACCTGCGCAGCCCAACTGCCCACGTGTTGCATTTTAACACTAACATTGGGGCACTAGATGTCCTCAACTTAGCCTGCACTTTGGGATTGCGATATGTCTAAATGTTTGGCAAACATCTAGCCTTAAGCAGCAACTGATAAATTCTTGTCCAGTGCCACACACGCTAGCGATTGGAACAAAGATTAGGGCGACCCTCAGCCTCCCTTTGATAATGCTAAGCCACTGAGAACTGCGATTTCGATGGTCCATCTCTTGCATCTGCTCATTTTTATGTCCCAACTGAGCAGTGTGATTAGCCTTTTCGGAGAATAAACATAGGACTAATTTTTGATTCACTAGTGACGGTGGAGACTATCTGCTAACTTCTTAGTTGGCATGTTGGACGGTAGAAAAGTGTACTCTTATCGAGGGACCCTGTTACCAGACTGCCATCGTGCCTAGTATGGGAACAGCGGCCAAACTTACCCGGACTGCAAGGCGGCAGCATGCACTGTGTGACCGGTAAGACTGTAGCTTTTGCGCAAAGCTCATGGCCTGGCCCTATTTTGTGTCATATTTTACCATTTTCTGATACTCTTCCGATAACTGTACAGCGTCAGTATTCAACAATACGCACTCATCCAATTAAATTTCACGCGAGCGTAGTCTGTTCCTCATCACTGCGGTGTTGCGGATCCCGCGCTAGTACTTTCACACCCCCTCACAGCTTGCAACATTCGACTTGCTGCGCACCTGCGTATTTCGCATATAATGCCACGACTCGACATAACGTTGATTCAGAGACCACGCTTTGATAACTCGTGCTATCTTTACCGCCCGCTCCTCTTGTACATCCTCTCGTCCTACAATGTCTTCAGAAGGTGACTATTTGATTTCTTGTTTGCCATCAACCGAGATTGCTCAAAGAATGTTTATAGTTTTTGCCAGGAGCGACCAATATGCTACGATTTCACCGTATGGCTATACCCCACAAGCCTGGGTTGGTGTTGTTTTTCTTGCCGCGTTTGGAGTGTCTACATGTATGTCCCTCTTCAAGCGCAGCTGTTGTCCTGGGGTTGAATATATCTATAGTATGGCACATTACACAGCTTATTCGTTATCGACTATGGTGGCTGCTGCCCACAGTATGCGGCTGTGGGGCACTTGAGCTTGTTGGTTGGACCGGAAGACTCTGGTCGAGTTACAACGTGCTTTATAGTACCCCATTCATGATGCAGTAAGCCTCCCATCTATCCGGCAACGGCCTCATGGGCTAACACCAACATGATAGAATTGTCTGCACAATCCTTGCACCCACACCGCTCGTTGCGGCCAGCTTTATCATATTAGGACAATGTATTCGCCGACTGGGGAGCAGTACAGTCGTTTGAGCTCCAAATGGTGTAAGTGTCAGCCGTTGGTAATTCTAAATGTGGATGTCTGAATTGCGCATGAACAGATACAATTATTTTCTGCACTTGTGTGAGTATCCGTAATTTGTAGTCATTGAGCTTGCTTATAAAATACCCACAGGATGTTATCGCCTTGGTCATTCAGGGTCTCGGCGGGGGGGGGGGGGGGCCC